TTCATCAACCGAATTGCTGATGGTGACAGGTTCAAGTTCAAGGGTTAAACAACCAATTAGGAATACAGAAATGGATTCTAGACTACCATGGCTATAGCTAAATATTTTGGTGCAGTTTTCACTCAGGAACCTCTTTTTGAAGAAGAACTAGACCCAAATACGAAGTCAACAAACCACCTACTCACCGTGGAGTCGATCGAGATGATGAACTTAAGGCTCTTAGCACATCAGAAATGAAAAATCAAGGGGACTGGAAAATCAGCGGATGATGTCTACATAGAATTCAGCAAAGTATTTGATGTGGTGCTAAAACAGACTGCTTTTGAAGCTGAAAGATCTATGTATTGCCGGATCCCTCTTAAAATAGCCTAGATATTTACTGGTAGATTGTGGACATAAAGTAGGAGTAAATTCCAAGCGCTCCACCTGCCAACCAGTACTCAGTGGAGTACTACAAGTTTCTGTTCTAGATACTTTACTTTTTCTGCTGTATGTAAATGATCTCCCAAATATAGTTGAGTCATTGATATTAGTATACTCTGATGATGAAGAAATCTGGCGAGAAAAAACGAGAGACGCAGATGCATGTGTATTCCAGGAAGGCTTAAATATTGTGATTAGCTGATATAAGGAGTGGCCGATGCCAATCGAAGCGGCAAAGTGTGTCTACATGCACATTGTCGATGCAAAGATAAATAGGTATATCATGGGAGAAGTTCCTGTGCCCATAGTCCGGTCTCACAAGGATCTCCAGGTAACAGTGAGCCATGATCTTAAGACCACACGTCAATGCCGGGAGGTCGCACCTAAGGGGTTTAGAACTCTATCGGCTTTAAGACAGACATTCACCATTAAGATACTACCATGTTCAATACACTATACATAAACTCAATGAGAAATAAGCGTGGGAACTGCGTTCAGACTGCAAGCCACTGCTTAAAAGGTGGCTCAGGTATCTTGGAAAAGGTACAGAGGGCAGCTACCTGTGTAATTTCGAAACTCCGGGGTTTACCATACAAGAGTGGCTTGAAAAACTAGACCTCCTTACTCTGTCCTACCGCAGATTGAGGTGATCTGATTTCGATGTATGGGATACTAAGAAATAATTTAGGGTCTAATATATCCTCTCTTTTTCTTCCCACTAGATCGGGGCGTCGAAGAGAACATATCAGGCGAGTAAAAAATCCACGAACGAACAAAATACCCATGGCATACAGGTTTTCACATCGAGTCGTCAATTCTTGGAACTTTTTACCGGAAGCCAGTGGTATCCTCACTTTCAGTTTTCTCATTCAAGAGAATACTGGACACATAGGAGCATACTGAAAAAGGAAATAACAGGCCGTAGGTCTTCTGTCCTTACTACAGAAAAATTGAATCCGAAAATAATGTGCAATGACTTCGTTAACAACATACTTTAAACTATCCATATTATGGACTAAATGATCCCTACGGTGACAAATTTTGTATCCCAATAAGGCGTCGTGCACATTAACGCGAAGTGTCTGATAAAACAGTGTGCAAATGTGGATGTGACAATAGACTGATAATAATAAACATCGGAAGTTTCTTTACAATGCTAATCGTAACTTATCATGAAGAAGCACAGGACCTTGGTACAATAAAAACAACCTGCATTCAATTGACTTTCAAACAGAAACTTCACGCAACGAGCGAAACTTATTTTAGAATTCTCATGCCGTGTGTTGTCAACAAAACTCTACGACTACACTGACAGATGAGAAAATAGATCGATCTATCTGCTTTAGTCGCCTGTTGGCTAGAACCTTCCATAAGGAAATTAGTTTCTTGCTGACGCCTAAATGTATCAAGTGCAACCGTTCTCATGGAGAAGCCTCCAACATGTTTGGCGGTAAATTTTCTAATAAACTTCTAACACGATGATGAATTGGTTGGGACCTCCTACGGGAAGTGATATTGTAGTGAAGGAGAACACAGGTTAAAACAACCGAATTGTATTTAGCACAAAATTACAGAGTTACTTGATAAAATAGAAAAACCGTATAGTAAATCGTCAATTTGCAAAATATTAATGCATCATATCAACCTGAACTGTTCCTGTTGCAAACATCAATCCATTGTCTCACATTTCATTGTTCATGCGTTTCCTTACGAATTGCATTGTGTTGTCGCTCTTCCTTTCTTGATCTCCCCCCATCTTCTGCTGCCAGACATTGCGTTTTTAACTCGCGTGGTATACTACTTACATCGATAAAGTAGCATGCACCACATGTCACAACCAGCTGTACCATCGTGTCCAACGACATACCAGATGTTGCTACGAGCTGGAGTGTCACAAATAAAAGGTACTTATGTAAATGAAGGCTTACTGTCAGCAACCCTTGTAAATCGGTTACACTTCGTTGAAATCGGATGATTTTACTTCCACCACCATAGATACCAACTATGGATAGTTCACTAGGATTGGCCGCAACTGTTGGTTAGAGCTTTTTAACAAATATCGGTCGTCATAGTTGAGTTGCAGTTTCAGTTCCCTCAGATTGATTTTGCATAGCCAAATATCGCAAGTCCTCAGCAAATTTGATTTCAGTTCAACAGAGCAGTACACTCCTGTGTCCAGAAACGTAACTACAAGTGACAATAGCCGATTTTTGTACAATAATGTTAAACTGCTCTGTAGCTACAGCGTTTCCTCCTTCTTCTACATCGAATGAACTGCATATTTCATTGTTAATGGTTGTTGACTGATATTTCTAAAACTCGGCTCTTAACTTACTCAGTCTTCTGTAAAAGGCCGATTGAGGGCAGTTCATCAAGTTTGACAGTCTGTTGGCTGTCGTCCGTCTCATCCCTTTTATTACTTTCTACATAATTAGTCTAAAAGAAACAATTAACTGTAGTCAGGATGGACAGAAGCAGTAATCAAAATCTGGCAGTATAAACAGCTCACCTGCATGGCGTCAGACTTGAAAAAGGGATGTGGGACCGACGCCTTTTTGTCTCGTGTCTATTTGACTTACTAAAACAGGATCTAAAAGTTAGCATTGTTATGCTAACTGAACTTCATTATAATAATAAAAATAATTGTTGTGATTGATTGTAATTTCGTCGTAAGAGACTTAAACAGTACACTGATTATTAAATGTTTGTTCTGAAAACTACGCGACACTGATTTTACCCAAACATTGAGAAAATTATAAACACGACCATTCGTCTGCAGTTTTTCCCTCAAAATCTCTTGAAACTTTGGAGAAAGCTGCGACTTATCATTGCATTTGGAAATAATCCGGAAATAAAGAGTTTGGGCAGAAAGGTATCTTTGTTTCTATTTGTTAGAATACTGCGAATGAAATTTTAACATTAATTTGATGTAGGAAACAGGAACGCTATAACCGTTATTCAGAATCCAAAGACGTTAATTACTAATGGACGACTTGCACTCCTTTAAATTTTAATTTTATTTATAACGCATGTCTTTTAACAACGACAGTACGAATCTATCGTGACAGACTGGTTCTTGTTACAAATAGTGATTCAATTGCTTTGGAACTGCTTTCACTATGCGAAGTTGACTGAAGCAAAATAATTGAATTGATACGAAGTTTTAGATACTTGTTATGAAGTCGACAGACTTTTCTGTACAATCAGTAATTTTGGGGTTCGCGAAAAAATGTCCCGAAAATGCGAAAAAAAGTGTTTGACCACAGAACGTATATCGGTTTTCTCAAGTGTTTTAAGATTATTGGGAATTTACGCAAACTTGTGGAAAATCTAAGGTTTAGTGTCATTTCCCCGAAATTTTCTATGGTGGGTTCCCTATCCTGAGATTGAATCGCTTACAGCTAATAAAAGTCAATAAGTACATGAAAAAGTAGATAAGACTTGTATAGTTGAAACATTTCAATACTTCTCCTACTACTATGTAGGAAATTATTTTCGATAAATCGAATGGTAACATCACCGCATTGTACAATGGAATGATCTCGATTTGCAACTAATTTATCGCTAACTTTTAACCATTCAGAATCATAGTAGACGTTTTTATGTCAAAGCTGGAAAGCAACCAACACAGTTTGACCACTAATTAGTTTAATTTATGCATAAAGATACATAGACCACACAATGGTCATTCGTGACGAAAATGTTGAATTAGTAGATATTATAAATTCCATTTACACATGCTATCCTTTAATATATTTCATGTTAGAAGATGAGCTAGGTCATTCAATCTTTTTTCTTGTCGTATGTACGACAACAAAGAGTGGTGACTCCGTAAAAAGGTCAATCTACAGGAAACAAACATGGAACTGCCAGCTGAACAACTTTCATAGCTGGGTTACATTAAATGGAGGAATCTTATTCACTTTTTATGTCACCGAATGCATAAGATACGGAGTACTAAATGCATTGAAGAACCTGCATTCCTCAGAAAAACTTTGGCTATTACTACTTTAACGAGCCGGATATTTAAGGGTTAGTTCGTACTTTTAACTATGGGAATGTCTCATACACCAAACAAGATGGCTAATTGTCTGATGTAACCTGAGTGTTCGCTTTGCATGGATCCGCTCTGACGAAATTAATCACAGAGACGTATACGTTAGTCGTAAATGATCTGCTATGCATACATTAAGATCCACAGCACACAAATAAAGTATTCAAAAAAGACTTAAACTTATTGCTAACAACTTACCACAGTTTGAGAGTAAGCAAAACAGATAAAACCTAACCTGAAAGTCAATGTTCTACGTAGTTAGTGTGAAAAACTCCACGGATGATTGTTTTTTGAGAAAGCTCAAGTACTTGAAAAAGGCATTTGTGCTCAATTACGTTCGGATTACCTAGATAATATTTGACATTTTGAATCCTCAAACAATATAATATATATGAAACACGTTGAAAAGTCGAAAAAACACACTTAAATAAGTTGGAGTTGGGAACATATATAACCAGAATTATTTTGGTTCAAGACAACGAAATAATCGTGAGTCCGAATAAAAACCCATTCCGAATAAATTTTAGGTTTGTATTTCGTTAGAAAAGTATGAAGACATGCATAGAACTATCAATTCTGATTACTAATATTTACATATGTACCAGACACTGAGAAAAAAAGGATCTTAGGTTTTCATAAAGTGAACATTGTAAAAACTGAAACTAGTGAGCAATCATACATGGAGTCTTCCAAGAGATATGACACCTAGGCGCATGATTTTGCGCAATATACTCACTTAGAACACTTCTAATGGACATAATTAACTTTACCAGTATCCAATTTATACACACTCTACTCAGGGATTAAACTAAGATCGTTCAAAATCCTTCAGCCAACATATTGGTAGTTAGCACAAAAACCATATTAGGCAGAACACCAGAACATGTATTTACAAGATTTTTAGTTTTTCACATATTGACATTGTTGGGAGACACAATGTCCCGGACCAAAAAACACATTCTGAGTCTTCAATAACAGAATACACAACCAGGCATGAATGTTCATTGTAAATACAAGAAACCAGTAAGGCGAATGGATCCTTAAAAAAGGAACCTGAAAGCATACGTCAAATATTCAAGAACACGCCGCTGACCGGACTTTGATAAACTCTTGAATTTTAGCATCCAGAACGTCTGAAATAGATTTATGTGCCTGTGTTTTCTCCTCCAGAACAGGCAAAATCTTCCTTATTTGTTTATTGATATATTCTACTCGACGGGAAAAGTGACTTTCAGCTTCTGGAACGGTCTGCAATAATTATGTAAAGTTTCACCTATAGATTCAACAAACCATTTCAACATAGTAACCAGTACCAATATCTACAAGCACATGTGAAGGATCAGAAAGTTTCCCAGGAACACACAAGGTTGAAGTTAAAGGGACAAGAATATCTTTATTTTCTTTTTCTGTGGTAAGCTCGCCCAGACAACTTTTGGAGGCAACAAACTGAGCCTGGAGAGACTTGAGTTGTTGTATAGAAGCAGATATAAACTGAATTTTTTGCTCAAATTGCCGTACAAGATCTTGAAGCTGTGGGATAGTCAGCTCTTTGATACTAACAGTTCCGGACGTCATCCCAAGGACGGTAACGTAATTTTCAAAGTTCGTATCAGCATCATCCTGAAATCCAATAACAACACTATAGTTGAAAGAATCAGTATACCATTCATTCTTCATGATCTGTTTCTGAGTGGTTAGAGTCATTTTTGATATTTTCCTGCTAAGAACTTAAGATTAACACAATTTAGTTGGCAATAGACGAGATTAATGGGTAACATTCTAAGTAATTCAGTCTTCAGTGTTCAGTAGGAGGTAGGTCTATCGACCTATATTAGTCCTTGCAGTTTGTAATACTGTGGAGGTCCGACCTCGTTTTGAATATATTAACAGACGGTGCTGATATTACGTGTTCCGGTAGTGAATTCCAGTAATTCACTACTCGTTGCGAGAAACGGAACTCCAGATGTAAAAGGTTTGATCTCGGTTTTTGAACTTTCTTCGAATGTCTTCTCAAACGATCGGTTCTAGACGGAAGCAAAAGATAAGACATATTAATACCAAGGTCATCGTTCAGCACACGATAAACCAATATCAGATCATCCCGCATTCTACGGTAAGATAACGGAAATAAGTTAAGGTGTTGTAGGACCAGTGAAATGTCACTGAGCCCTAGCCAAATCATCCGGCAGTTGGATCACTGAATGTCGAGCAGATCGTCGCTCCCTGCCAAGGTCAGGTACAACAAACGCGCATTAGTTAATCATACGCCATGGACTGGCCCATGCGGCAGTGGTCTTACTTTCGCCTGTATCTACCTTAACTAATATATTTCTGTGATAACGTCCTTTGTGTTGTACAGTCTTCAAAGCATCTATAGTACCTTGTTACGTCAATGGGGGTAGTCCTCGTAAGGTGCTGACCACGAGGTGTGACTTCGACGTTAGTTGGTTCGTCACACTATTCACGTCTAACTCGAGTCGGCCTCCAATCATTTCGACATAGATCATCTACGTTGGTGATTTACACTGGTGAGCCCGACGTGATTCGAACACGCAGCCTCAGTCTGTCTTCATAAGATATGCCAGATAGACCTTGTGCCATCTTAGTACCTCGTTCCAGCACATCTACTCCATACTTGAAACAAGGAATCGTTGCTTGAATCCCATGTTCCAAATATGGTCGCACGGAAGTCGGGTATAATAATCTAAACAGTTCGTCATCTAAATACTGGAAGGACCTAAGAATAAACCTTAATATCTTTTAGCCTTCCGCAGCAGCAGCCATACAGTGCTTAATATGACTCCTAAATCTTTATAGTTTCTTACTTTGTGTAGCACGAAATCACATATTGTGTTGTGACACGATTCATCATAGTTATTTATTTGCATAACTACACTTTAATTAGTATGTACTTCTAGTGACCACCTGTCCAACCATGCCACTAATGAGCTAAGATCGTCCTGTAATATTATTCAATCTGACAGACTATGTATGGGTCTCCAAATCTTTATGTCATCAGCGAAGAGTAGAACGGATGATTTAGCCACAGTTGACGATTCATTTACATAAAGTAAAATAAGAAGAGGACCAAGGATTGTACCTTGGGGAACCCCACTTTTTACAGGTACCCACGAGGAGAGAGCCCCACTAACTCTTACCCTTTGTCTCCTGTCATGAAGAAAGCTACTTATCCAATCTTACAAAACATAAACCCAAAGTATGGGTCGAGACCTCCAAAATATTAAGTAACGTTTATCATCAGTAAAGCTGCCAGAAGTTAGCTCCATAGATTAATGGTTCAGACCACGAAAATGTTCGATTGAATTTTGTGAGTCTACCATGTTGTATAATGAGTTAAAGTCCTCTCGAGTGGTTTTTCTACTGGAAACGTATCAGTAGTCAGCGGGCTTCGTATCTACTTCCCGTGACTCACCGATAGTTTCAGGTAGGGAAGGAAATATTGGTGAATTATAGTGAAGTGGTGTTATGAGTTCTTAAGATTGAGTGGAGAGTAATCCATTCGGTATACTCTCACAGTCCAAGTGACGAAAGCCCCACATTATAAATCACTTAACTTATTAGTTATACTTGGAACAATAATATTCTCTTGGCACCCAAACTGTCACATTAAAATCAACCAACCTCTTGTCTGGGATGTGATGCCTGCCGTTAATGAGGGTCCATACCGTCCTGAAACATACGCACTCACGTAAACTACAAGATATATCAACCTAATAATAATTGTCAATGTGTCTAGAGTTAATGCATTCGATTGGCTGAACTACCACACATAGGAAATTTCCATACACAAAGCGAGCGAAAAGAAATCGATTGGTTTATATAAGATATATGGTAAACGCAGTATGCACGACAATTTGTTATTTATAAGCTTGTTTCCACCCCAAAAGCACAGTTTCAGGCGAAGTCACTCATGTATAAACAACCTGCTGTGTGAGGTGGTCAGATGGACAATCGTTCTTAATCGCAAGCGGAAGTCTGACAGTACTGATCATGACTTCGCCTGAATTATTGTGAGTCTACCATGTTGTATAATGAGTTGAAGTCCTCTCGAGTGGTTTTTCTACTGGAAACGTATCAGTAGTCAGCGGGCTTCGTATCTACTTCCCGTGACTCACCGATAGTTTCAGGTAGGGAAGGAAATATTGGTGAATTATAGTGAAGTGGTGTTATGAGTCCTTAAGATTGAGTGGAGAGTAATCCATCTGAGACATGTTACAGAACACAACTACAACTTAGGCAACTCCCCCCTAGAAGTACACCAAGTTGGGAAAGGTATGGAAGTGTTGGTATTCTACGAATCGAAGTCTTACTCCAACTGCCACAAAAACGCCTCCCGTGCAAACTTCGCACCAGTAACTTTGGAGTGCATTTTCGGCCAGTTCGATAGGAAAACCTTCCACATAATCACCAACACTTTTATTCGCCCCCATTTACAGTACGAAAACAACATTTCTTCCCTCACTCTTAAAGGATAAGGACACTCTGGGACGTATCCAACAGTGAGCCACGAAATCAGTTCAGGGACTCAAATTCAAACCTTATGAAGAGCGCCTCCTATCACTGAACCTTTACCTACTAGAGCACAGGCGTCTTAGAGGTGACCTTCTAATGGCTTACAGAATCCTAAATACTTCTGCATATCCCCTTAAACACCTACCTAAGCTTAGTCCAAGCACAAACCCAAAAGAAAATACCCAGAAACCGGAGACAACACAGCATAACACTGTAGGCGTACTTTCTACTCCTTAAGAGCAGTCAATTGCTGGAATTCACAGTCGACTGATCATGACCAAGAGACTTTCCAGGAGTCCTTTGAGAAAGAACTTGATATATTCTTAAGGATTGAAGATAGCATCTTACTATGATTTGCCAGTTTTGTCATCCTTTTCTTCTTTAATCGATAAAATTACCTAGGTTTCTACCTGAAGGTTTCAGCGATCCACTGCTACTAGACACGGAAGTCTGTTAAGCGCAAGTTTCTTCTGTTCCGTTCAAAACTTTTCTAAACGTTTCAGTCATTTTTTTGAAGAACTCTTCGTACGTAATTCTGACTACCTCAGTCGGCAGTCGGATTTAGAATCTTTCTGCACGTGAAGAATAAATGATATTTCCCAAGTCCATTGTTTCCGAATTCAGAATCAAATCAATGCATCGAGATTGAGCTATATTATATATTTAGGTGCATACACAGGATTATAGATGACGTTATTTTCACCAGTGTTCCACCTCTGAAAATCTCTATTAATAAGGCGTAAAATGATTTGGGAATCCTAAATTAGGTCTTTAATTTGGATACCTTAACTTGTTTGGAGTCTGACCTTTGAAGTATTCTTATATTTTTCATGTAAGGTAGTTAACAGTATATTTCCACAAATTGGGAGGAACTAAAAACAGGCATTAAAGACTAAATGAAAAGAACTACGGTTAAACTGGCCAATAATGAATTTCTACGTTACGAAAGCACGGACTGCCTTATGTTTTCCTTTCTAAATTAAAGAAATATATGCAAAAATGACACCAAAGTAGATCTCAATGTTGTATGTAAGCTAAAGATTTCGACATCAGCTTATATCCATCGATTTAAATGTATGATTGACATTAGTTGTTTTTCTACAGATTTTTTGATAATAAATGATTTCACCATCTGTTCACCTTGATTAAGCTGTGTCCGCTTTTTCAGGACACTTTTAAAATCTGTCCTGACAGTATTACTCTCGGTTCTGCCAAAGATTTCGTACTGGGCATATTCATCAGTTAAACTCATTCTGATGAGAGAATGGTAATAGAATATGATCTTTTGTCTAACAGGGTTAAGGACTAATAATTTAGAAACTTGAAGTACATGGTTAGAGAAAAAGTAAGTTTTCATACAAGAATGTGATCTCAGTCAGCAATGGGCACATCGGGCTACATTTCCTGATAAACTGAATCGTTCCATCACGTTAGTGTTGTAGGAAAGGGTCTTCAAGTGGTCTTTAAGGTAAATATACCTGGCAAGACCCACAAATACTATTTGAGCTGCATCATGTCTGATTCTGGAAGACAAGATTTCACGACCATTGAGAGAGTCGAGCAAGTAAAGTAAACTCTACCATCCACACTCTTATATCCTTAAAATCCATAACTTTGAAGATTATCGTAGGATAGTTATTCATTTTTATTGCTATTGGAAAAACATGTTTTAAAGGAAGAAATTGCTAATTTAGAGTGCTTCGTTTATGATTCCTCTAATTATGGGAATTTTGAGTTATACCCCTTTATTGCATTATTGTGACCGGTGAATTCGAGAGGAATAAAAGCTTGAATAAGTCATTAAAGCGTTGGGCAGTGCCGCATAGTTTCCTATATCTTATACTAACAATAAATTGATTATAATGTAAAATATTGGTATCCAGATCAGTATTATTCACCTAGAATATTTACATTGTCTGACGACGTTCTATTTCTACGTTGTTCCTATGACAATAATTAGTAAATTCAGATTTGTAAAACATGTGAATGTACACAAATATAACCGTTCTGCTCATGAGAAAATCTAATATTTACAAATTTCAAAATTGTGACTGAATTCTCATCTTTCTAAAAAATTATGCACTTCAGAATTTGTAAATATTGATAATATCATTACCGATAATGACAATAATATTAATAACATATTTTAGGTTCTTTACTTCATGAACTGTCGTTTGGTAAACTGCAGGTGTGTTTAAATAGGATTTCAGTAACATTTAGGTCATGTCATCGCATGGTTCCGCAAATTGCTCAGTTAACGCTAATTTCCTGTATTTTCAGTTTTTCGTGTCGAATTCATTACTAAAATGCAAGCTTTCTGTCATCAGGACGATGTGCAAGTCCTTTAAGCGGCTGACTGGATGTATGATTGTACAACTTTAAGAGGACGTATTTAGAAGAGTAATCTCGGTCTATATAGATGTTACGGAATAAAAACTTAGTAGTTAATTCGGTTTAGGCCCTAAAATTCTCCTCGCTACGAAGCTAGAAGATTTCTTAAAAATTCATTTCACAAACACTTTAACAAAGTGTTGCAGCGTGGCGTCGGGTCCCAGTTGACTATGAACACCGCTACCAAGAAACACGTGCCAAATAATTCAGAAGGCGGATTGGAATCAAGTTTATTCAATTGGCGATCTCATGGTATCGAACGAATACCAAGATCGTGCCAAGAAATGGTACAAGCGAAAGCAGGGTGACGGAGTACGTGCGAACAAAGCCAAAAGCCGCGGAACAATGATGGAAGGTAATGGAAGCACAAAATGGCTGTAATTAGCACAGTTAAACAAGCACTGGTACAGTTGGTTGTAATAATAATTGTTTTCATTAAATCAGTCGTGTTCTCGTGATACAAGTAAGTCACTACAGTGTCATCATCATTTGTTTTTTTTCATTCAGCTACATTTCATGTCATCCAACTTTAACTTATGCTTCTACTAATCCCCAATTTTCACCAACTCAGTCGATAAACTTGTGTAAACTCTTTAAATGTTAGACAATTATGTTTCAACTTATTTTGCGGAATTCCAAAATTTAAGTAATCACTCTCTTACCGCCGGTACTTCTGTTACATGTGAATCTTATTAATAAATCACGCAAAGATAATAAAAGTATTGCAGAAATTTAAAATATTAATGGGCATAAGGTATGAATGTCCAGTCTATTTCATTTCCTAGCCCATAGGTTATTTTCAAGGTAACGGAAAAAGGAGGATTTTCCTCTCTAATGTACTCGAATCCCATCTATCTTTAGTAATTCAATGATTCAAGTAGTACTTTAATGTGGTTGAAAATAATCTGAACTGCTGTGTACTACTAAGTAGTGTAGTATAACATATCAAAAGGAAAAGTGAAAAATGAAGATACATAGTATAATAAAGATTCTATAGTCTCCATTGAATGGTTAACAGCTGAATTTTCATAATTTCGTGGCGAAAGTAGTGAAATTAAACATAAAACAACCTATCAATTCAGCTCAATGACCTTGTTTTACCAAACATCATAGTAAGGATAAACGTCCACCACCTAAATAAACAGCAGTATAATCGATTATAACTATCATTGCAGAGTCACTATATTCATATCAACAATCTTTTTAAATATAATCCTCCATAATTAGTGATAAATATTGTGTTCGGTGATAAAACAGTAATATAAAAGGTTTGTTTTATATACGAATTTACTTATTCATTGATCAGACGTTCAATGAACTTAGACAAAATCAGAAATTGTACTACTGCTCAAATTTTGGTTGGGTCTTATCGGCCTCCTTGTTTGAAGATTAAATAGACAACGGTCTGTTAGTACTGTTTCGGATGTTACCGGGATTCTGAAGGATGTATAAAAAGCATGCAGATCTTCGTATATATGATCTGTACACCCTGATTTAAGACTATGGGATTAATAATGGAAGTTTAGTAACTTGTTTAACATCAAGGACTTCAGTTTTTCTAATGGAGTTCTAGGAGAGAAGTGAATCTTCTTCAAACCTCCATTTGCTGCTGTGGTGATTGTACTTTCCTCTTGTGTAAATATTTGATTCCGCTTAACAGAATAAACATTCAAGATGTCTACAGTTTCTAAGTTGATGTGATCTTCCACGTCATACTGACGAGTGCACCACAAGATGATAGTCTAGAGTAACTTACGAGCCAATGAAAAAAAGTAAACACAGACGATGCCTTTGGGTTTATGCATTATTCCCTTAAATGGTCAGTTTTGGGTGGGAGAGTAGAAAATAATGGTACCAAAATCAGCGATTATATGGTAAGCCAATATTAGATCACGTCGAATAACTGTATAAACTCACCAAATATGCCACAGTGAAATCAGTTAGTAGCTGCATTCTAACGGAAAATATACATCTGCTTGAAACTAAAACCATGAGCACAACACTTGAAAGAAAAATTCAAATGTCCTTCAACTACGCCAAAGTCCATTTCTGAACGTAATCGGTATTTGACACTATGCTTCCAACCATGGACGAAGTTGAAAAGCCATGAATAACTTAAAAGTAGGAATGGAAATCAGTATTCACGAGTTATACGTGAAGGATTCCACATAATCATACAGTTTCAGTAGTTACATTGATTTAGCGTAGCAGACGGACTACTCTTGACTCAAGGAAACAAATCGAGCATGCACCAGAAAATAAAACATCAGTCTTTAGGTGTAAATGAGATACTATAAAGGCATGAGAACACCTCTACAAAGTGAAAAAACCCTAAGAGAATTAGATTAATTAGTTAGTTGAATGGAAGACTCAAGGAACCAAGAACAAAAATTGAAATTTATCTAACAAGTAAATTGTTAAGAAACTATATTATCCCATATAATGCTTTCCTTCAGTCACTGACGATCTAGGTAAACATTTTGGAAAGCGGGTAATATAAATTGACACTGAGTTCATGAAGACGGTTTTTTTCAGAGCACATTACGAATCATGTATTTTTTCAGTACGCCATGTAAAAAGTCATATACAGCAGAGTCCAGTCGGATGTAATCATCTTTCAAATGAAGTGCGATATTTTATAGTAAAAGAAATGGATAACATTTTTAACTAAACAAGCCATATAGTGTACTAAATTCATGTGACTTTATACAATGAAATTGGTCCCCACTTAACAGAAAAGTTATTTTTAATCAAAACGAAGTTGAAGCATGACAAGAAATTCAGAAATCAGTTAGTTTCCATCTCATGTTCATTAGACTGACGTAGAAGTTTATGAAATCGGTGATATACTGAAGAACAATCATGTAATTGTGCAATCAACTGCTTGCGTTTTGAAACATCAACATGTTCCTGATCACTCACTTCGCGTTTTTGACGTCTTTCAGCATCTATATCTTGTACATCCTGGTTAAATAACATGGAAAAAACACAATAAAAGGAATGGTGATTATGAAAATATTGTAGGGACTTAGCGTGGAATCACACATCACATATGAAATACTTTTAAATATCTGAATCGAACACTTTGATGAGATACGTCTAGTTTAACAACATTACTAGGAATTATCATTGATCTACTACTAAGAAACAATAAAAAACTCCAAGGCATGTTTATCATATGAATGCTACGCAACATCCAAGACCAAACGGCACATCATTTGGAAACTTGAAAGAATTCAATGATATGGCAAAATATCTGAATCAACATCATTCAAACCAGTGAAAAGGATAAATATCTTCCCTCATTACGTACTATACTACTGTCAACTCAATTTATGGTTGCATTATATGACTGTTATAAACTCTATAACGGTACAGACTCTTCAGAAATATTGATCACACAAATGTAGTGTACAGAAATTACGATGTAGTGAACTGTACTTGTGATAGATATCGTGTACATTTTTAGACACTCCAGGAAAATGGTGCTTGATGTTCAAAATGATGATTTTATGCTATACAATATCATAATCCGTCTTTATTATCACTACTTATTACAATTTCATTCTTAAACAGAAAAACATCGAAATAGATCCTCTCATTCGCGTGATTAAATTTAATGAAAACTAAGAAACTTTGATAAGACAATATTAAAAGGTGGGAAAACTAGTTTCGATGACATGTATAACAGTAAACGCATATACGATGAGGGCAGTATCTTTGTGGAGGAAGTTTTAATCAACCTTATTTGGTTTTATAAGAACAGTGAAACTAAAAAATACCATATTCTACTCTTCAGAAGCACAACACGTATTCCCACAGAGCTGACTTAGATGATATACTGAAAAAACGTCATTAATTGCAACCAAAGTTCAAGTTAACATACCATTAAATAAAGAAATTCTCAGTAACTTACCTTTATTAATTTTGTATTCAAGCTCGGTGTACAGACTGAATGATTTTCTGTTGTTGTATGAGCCGTTATTAGTTTACCTCTAGAATCATTTGTTGTTTTAGGGAGACCTACAAGTTCCAATCGTATATTTAATCCATGAGCAATAGTCTCACTGACATATATTTTTAATAAGACATGATCAAACATACGATACTGTTGATATTCATTAGTTTTGGAGTTGCGGACTTCTAAAACCCCACAATCTGATCGTTCGGATGAATGAACACGTTCAATCTGAAAGTCAGATATCATGAGAAAGAAACTTGAATATCTAAGCAAGAAAGAAATTATTTTGATAATTTCAAAATAAAACATGTAACAACAAATTATATGTCGGTATAGAAGTCTGATAGACTTAGGCATAAAATTACTAGCCCGATTAATAATTGAAGGTGATTGGTTTACACTGACACTATGACCGCTTTGAATTAGATGAACTGGTATTGAGTAGTTTACCGTCTTTACTGCATTTTTGTTTGACCATGCTTAGTGTTCACAGGCAAAAGTGCAATAATTCTCAGAACTTCAGTAACTAACTTATTTCACATGACCAGTTAAGTTCATTAATATGAAGTGGTGTCTAGTCTAGATATCTAATCTTTCAGTCTTGATAATACTAGTGGACGTGTAGAAAAAAGTCAACTTATAGCATGAATGTGTTCTGGACTGTTCTTCATAATATGTGGATTAATGTTATACTGGTTGAATTGCCTCTGAATTGCACGAGCATACAAAATTACATAAAAATATTTATATCCTGAGTTAAAAAAGACCTTTCTGTGTTGGAAACAGAAAATTATTGAATTCTGTCGAAGAATATGCTACATGTACAACGAAGGATAACCGAAAGACAGTTTTGCTTTTATACTAGGAATAATTTAGTACCAGAAGATCATTTGGATATCAATCAATAAGCATATGAGACTCATTTCTACTAAGAAATAAATTTGAAAAGACTTGAATTTACATCACGTGCCTAGTGTTGCTTCAGTTTCCAAAAGAGGTTTAATAACAAAAGGTAAAATGTCAAACAAGAAAAGTTATAAGTAGTTGTGTTCCAAATTTATATAACACTGAAAGTTTGTGTGAGTGAAAATACAATGACATAAGAATTTCATACCACTATGTTTTGGACATCTTGTAACCAATGAATGTTACCAGTATCGGATGTTGTATGATCAACCCATGCTATGTGACCATCCGCGTTTTTTATGCAAACTGCACCTCTGATACCGTATCTGGAAAAGTAAAAAAGTAATATATATATATATATATATATATATATATATATATATATATATATATACGAATGAAAAATAAATGAATGGTAACTACGAGGAATTATTTATGGACTATTATTAAATTTATTCTCAACGGATAACTATTAAGTAACTAAATTATATGTATATTCATATTCCTTTTGTCATAACCTTTCATTTGACCTATTGACTACTGTTATATGATTTAATATTCTCAAGTTATTCTCAACTTTCAGTGTGTGGTTGTGGAGATTGTCAAGTTTTTGATTGAGATCATATATCGGTGTAAGCTAGACCGCCATTAGAAACCTGGAAGCACTGGACGACCATTTCGTCCTAGTATAGGACTCCTCTGCAATGCGCATCCACGATCCCGTATGCGGGACTCGAATCCAGGACCTTCGTTCTTGCATGCGAACGTTTAACCTCTAGACCACTGAGCCGACATCTAACGGAGTCAATGTCTAACTTCAATCAATCCACGAGATTACACGACCATGTTCCATTGTCTGAAGTAGATACCTGTCTCTACCTGACATGGATTAGCTCCACCAGTTACGGCTTCTCACTAAAACTCCGAGAATTACCTCACGAAGCCAGTCACTAGTGAGCACATGACAATTTATTAGTTACCGTATCTCACAGCCAATTTTGAACTGATCTTGTATATTAATAACTAACAAAATTCAAGCGTCAATTTACTAAGAACAAGAATGCAATAGATCAAACTGAGAATAGGGATATGCATATTAAGTATACAAATACTCACCGGGGAACAAAGGCAATAAATCCATTTGTGCCTCTTAACTGACAAATGATTCCTTCTGTATATCGAGATGGATCATCACCTGGTTTATCTTTAAAGAACAAAGCTTGAAATAATTCTAAACTGGATCGTTGAACTTGCTGAGCAGCCCAGTGTTGTTCGTTCATATGATTGCAAATAGAAGCTAATTCTTCAGAAGAGAATAACCCGTCAGTTTTATTTTCTAAAATTGTGACTAATTCAGTATTTTTTGAGTTGAGTTCACTTTGTGTTGTTGTCAGTGACCTATAGTCTCCTAATGAAGCAAGCAGAAGGCGATGAACCTGTATTCAACGAAAATAAGAACCATATAATACTGTAAATAATTTTACTTTGCTTTTATTATAATATCTCTTATGACTCCTTTATTTAACTGATGAATAATGTTTAAGTAAGAACGGAAGTTAATGAACAACACTTATGTAACAATGAACACATTTCAGAATCACCTTCTCAATGATGGAATGAAACCACTGGATTTTCTTATTTTGATATAACTGCTTTAACAAAAAAAATAATTTAGTGACCACCAATGTAAGTTTCATATACCAATAGCATTCAGCACTTAAATAAAAGATAGTTATGTAAAGAATTTGGAAGCTATAAAAAGTTGCCACCAGAATCAAGTTCGAATTGTATTAGCTTTTACAAAGATGGATAATTAATCAGCTATAAACAGCCTAGGACTTGACACAAACTGTGATCCAAACCACATAAGCAAACCATGAGAAATTTGATAAGTCATATTAAGGGAGTAGATACAATAGTATAATCAATGATAGGGAAAAAAAAGCCTAAGCAAGGAGAATCTAATTTGAGATTAAATGACTCACAGGTCATGTGAGATGCCGTGAAGTCACATCACCAGAACGCTTGCATCGCTAAGAAATGATCCAGGACCTCATTCAAGTTGCTCAAAACAAAATATCCTTTTACATTATGTGGAACTGCCCTCATACCACTAACAACATTCTGCAAAGTCTTGTTCACAACCGCTTCCTGATGTTTCTTCCAATTTAACTGACAGACCTCCTATTCTATTTTCTCTGTTTCCCACATATGTCATCAGAAAGCCATATTGAAAAGTGCAGACTATCTGGTTGCGCAATATTCACACTTTTTTTTCTCGATTCAGTACATATTTTCGAAACATAATCTGCAATTTCATTAATAGTACTATTATATCGAAATCTTTTCTACTGATACTATTGATTTGATCTCGCCGTACTGATAGCATTATGACTCGGATTGACGTACATTTATCCGAAGATGTCTGCTGATTACGACTGACTAACCTGCATGAGTGGTAATTTGATTACGGTTTAATCGGCTTTCAAGTGGACTTTGGATAAAAATTATCGTAGTGATTGAGATGCATTTGTGAATTTTTTTTAAAAAAAAACTGGAATTCGGTTAAATCGAACATTGACTGAATGGTAGCTAGTCAAACATATGGTCATAAACAAAACACAAAAAACCAGAACTATATGAAAACCAATTTTTAGTCATTTATTAGGTCTTACTAAAATATTCCAGAAACTCTAAACTCTACGCTAACAGAATAGCTGACAAATGGAACTAATAGATCGTATTTGGTGGAAACCATAAAATATCACATCAAGATTTTGGAAATAATTCGGATAATCAATTTGCAATAAAATGAATTAGGTAGTGTAAACAATCCAAGAACTTACAATTATATCAGCGTAACGTCGTATAGGCGATGTGAAATGTGTATACAAATTAAGGGCTAAGCCATAATGGGAAAACTGATCTTGTGTCATATTTGATGAACCAGTTGAGAAATATAGTGCATTTGTCATTGCACGTGTAACAAGTTGACGTACCACCTTGTTAACCTATTTATATACACAACAATCAGGAAGAATCGGAATGAATAACTCAAATAAATTAATAAAGGGAAGCAACAGTAGAAAGATATGAACGGCATTCATTTTCTCATGCACAAAAATACTGGAAAAGCTTACATTTATTTGGAAGCCACCTAAGCTAAATGAATATGTACTAAGGTGAGATAATATTTCAGTCAACAAAGTTATGAACAATTCTATCATCTGACCTAACGTGTAAAGTAAATGGAATTCAGCTCTTTAAATTTATCGAGAGTAATCTGAGAAAACTACCGAAGAATTTGCAATTTATGTGAATGTGTGTCACGATACTCGACATGAATTAGTAAAACTATATAATCTAAAAAGACGCTAGAGCACATCAATTTAATCATACAGAATTGCGAACCAGTTATAAGTATACAAATGATTTCCATGATGTAACAAACGGGCAATTTTATAGCATAAATTAATTTATATGTATAATACTTTACTTCACCAGAAGGATATTCACAACAAATAAGTAGCATACGCGATGCAGTCAGCTAAAAATCTAAATAAACACCTTAGATGAAGAAAATTAAAAATATAATTAATAAAAGCGATCATTCATTATATCAAAAAACTCCTATATTTTAATCTTACCTCGGGATCATTAGGATCTGATGCATTTTTTAAGGAATTCGCAAGTGAAAGATTGGAATTTGTGTCTAAAACAAAACCTCGACAAGCTATACAGCGTTTAAGTTCATCGAAATATTCCGGACGCGGAGGTGGATGTCGACGTAGACAAGCGCGATCAGGATAATATTCTACACATCGACGTGCAACCCAATGGTTTGCAAATATCATTAGCTCCGCTACTGTATTGTGCATTTCAAGGGGCTATTTCAAAATTAGAATAAATACAGATATTTACAAAAGCGATCCATTAACAAAAAGCGCAAATAGAACCAGAATTTGCAATTAGTTAAAACTAGCATATAAAAGTTAGATATTTTTTAGGTTAGAAGAAGAAACTACAAGTTATGTAACCATACATCATCACCGATCCCTGAAACTTTCTCTCTTAGATCTCTATTAGCTACAATTTATATTGGTAGAATGTCAGTATCTTAAACTACTGAAATCTCGATCGACGGTAGTACGAGGCAAAATATCGCCATAAAGTTCGAACACATATTTCAAAATAATAATTCACAGAAATTAAGACACAGAAGATTCGAGTAATGATGGAAACCACAACAGTAGTAGTCACACTTATGTCATATATTAGTCCTTATTTTGCAACTTTTAAACAATAACATCTAAGTGGTCTATAATGCTGCTCAACTTATCAGCAGGTTTGCAGGAAGATGTATGCAGATTCCCGATATAAATAAGAGTTTCTGAAGGATGAGTCGATAGTTGAAAATACAAAATCAGGACCTAAACGTTTTAACAGGAACGTAGTTATCATTCACTCTTCTCATCACCGTAGAGCCAACATTATTACCGTTACAAATCTATTATCGATTTGTTCACTTTGGATCTTTCAGATACAGCTCACAGTTCATTTGTTATCAGAAGGGGATAACAGTATGAGATCAATAATTCCTTTGTCACAATAACAATAAGGAATTTCTAAAACCCAATGCAATTGGTAAAGAGTATCGCAATATAGCTAAGTTCAAAACATCTCTAATTACAAACAGTCGAAATGTTTGTGGCAGCCTCCAAGCTGTATGTACCTCACATGACAGACTTGATTATTAGCATTTTACTATGGAGTGAAAAAATCTAAAAGACATAAGGTTACTGCAGATTAAATTAATCTAGGTAAAATAACATGATATGAGTAGTCTGCATGTTTACTGTAATTTGCTTATCCCTTTGCAAAAATGGTATTTGACCTTTAAAGTTTAAAGTTCTAATGGATCAGTTTGACTAAGATCAAATAAATGAAATATTAACGTCTCCAAATGACAGGATACGTCAACCAAATGAAATAAAAACAGGTATATTATGAAACATCTATAGTACATATATGTAGAATTATATAATGTTTTAAATTTGTTTTTAAATACCTCTTTTGGAATCAAATCCTCTAGTTTTCCAGTACGTGTTTCAGGATTGGCAAATTGAACACTAACTTCTACACTTTCAAGTTCTAAACCTCCTTTAGCAAGTCGACGTTCACGAATATTGGAGGCAATATCAACCAAAAGTAAAATAGATTTACTAAGCTTGTCCAAAGCAGTTAAACATTCATCCTTTGATAATTATTTAAAACAATAAATCATTACTATGAAATAATGACATAACTCAATAAAACTATTCTTACATTTAATAAATGAAAAGTTTTTTTAAGTCTAATTTTGTATCATCATTACCGTTTGAATAATTCCTAAAGACCAATATGAAAACATTTATGAATATTTAAATATAGTAACTAAGTTTAAATAAACTTGAGTAAAAGGGATAGTTTTCAAAACCATATTGCATAGAACCGAACGATGCGTGTTTCATTATAAATTAATTCCAACAATACATAAAGAAACTTAATTTGTTGATAGTGAAACAAACATTTGGTCCACCAGGGTGCTTGGTACCTGTGTGGTTGCGCCACAGGATTGAGCTGTGCTATTCAGATTGTAGCGTTAAAGCCTATACGGTGTCTGGTTCCCCTGCTAAACGGGGTTGAGCTGTACTGTTTGGGTTTTTACGTGAAAGTCCGGATGGTGTCTGGTTCTCCTGAAAACCCCCAAATGCCCTGGTACGGCCGAGAGTGGGGAGAGTCAGCTCTCCCTCTCGAAATACTCTCACACGGCCGCGCGTATACAGTCTCTGCCAGGGAAGTCCTACTCATTGCCTTCTCGTGGCGGGGGTGTTGTTTACGAAAATGAGAGGACGAAAAGCGAATGTCCGGCGCTTTAACCGGATTCCAAACCAATGGTGCACATGGGCTCCAGTATCCTGCGGGAACAAATGGCGTATGAACCAATTGTTGGTCACCGGCTTCCATGGGACTGCATCTCCTTACGATGCTCCACTGCCTTGTGGATCAGACCTTCAGGTCGAAGGCTCGGGGTGTGGCCCCCTAAGAAAACCACCTGCTTCGGTCTGGGCACCCGGGCAGTATCACAGCCCTCACACATATCGAATGAGATTTGTGTGGCGCATATGTATTTGATGCCTCTTTGTACCATTATGTATGTGTTGAAATAATAATAATAATAACACAAGGGTATATTATATAACTGTCAAACAAACATTGCGAATCGTGCAAGTATTTTTACGAACCTAGAACCAAGTATTTTTAAACATATAAGTGAAGAATATCATAAAACAGTTTATGTAAGAAATGTATATAATTTTATGTACTTAGGAAAAAAAGAAATAAGTTGGATAGTAGAACTTTATAAATGTAGTACAAGTTTTCACTTTAAACTTTATTATATTTCTTTATAACTTAAGAAAATATGACTTTACAGAATATGTGCCTCTTTATAACTGGGTTTCAGAGTTTAAAACATTTGGTACTGAAAAAATAGTTGTAGGATAACTGACAACTCGGTCTGTGTTCTTGCAAGTTTAAATCAACACAATAGAATGCATCCACAACACTAAATAGGGTAGAATCAAATCCTTAAACCGTTTATGAAGCGTTTGTCTTCTACCAAATTTTTACAGAAGTTTGGTGTTCATAGTACCTTTAAATTGGTGCTCAGGAACATGTTATGTACTTATTATTCAAGCAGTGTATTAACACCATCACATTCATTTATTCCTAGCTTATTTTTTATATTGGCCATGAAGTCACGCACATCTTGCTGGGTCTCAATGACTAGTTTCTATCTTAGTAAACTGAAAATTGAATAGGTTTATTTTCTGGTCAATCTGATCAAATTCACCTCCCCTTGGTAAAATATAATCACGACTATCGAATAATAAGAATAAATTTTCACTTATTGTTCGGTACCAATAATGTTAAAGATATGTTACTTATATGCATAAAAAACCTCAATAATAAATCGTAATATGCTTTATACTTCAAAAGTCGACTCACTCTGACTTTTATTCAACCATCTTCATTTGACTACAAAATCAATGGTGTAATACGTTTATAGACATGATTGTTACTTATAATTTATTCAATTGTCGCACCTTCTACGACTGCTCGTTATGAATTTGATTTTCAACAAAGTTTGAAAACAACTAGTGATATCAATGAAGTATAAGTTCATAAAATGAGAAACCTTGACATTACAAAGTGTAAGCCTGTTGTTATAATCTCTTTTCTTACGGTATGACCTAGCTATACCTATTGCTTAATATTATTGGACACCAATCACTCGAGAAGTCCCCAAATCAGAACACGGTTGAACAGGAAAGAGATTATATTCCAAATAACAAGGTTAGATGGAAGTAAGATGCAAGTAAGAAGCACAATAGGGAAAACGTTAGTATATTTATAGTTTTTACATGAGAAGATTCTAGAGTAATCCTCAACCATCGACTAGTGCTGATTGGATAAGGATTAGCTAGTTAGCCAATCAGCGTGCAACAAAGCAATCGTGCATTGAGCATGCTTTAATCCAGTCTATGTCCCGCTAATACCTGTGTAAAGTTATGGCTTTGCACTAAATTGATAAGACGTATCGATCAATGAACACAAAAAAACGAATGTAACAGGTATATATTATGAAACATAAAAACTACCCGGTTTAATTCTTTTAATTCAGGTATATCATTTTTAACAGCTTCCAATCCACCTGATTTCTTAACAAGCTCTTCCATTGCAAAGCTATTCGATGAAATGTTTTCTGCAGTGACTGAGTCGTATATGCGTTGAGCAAGTTCATAGGTTAACTTATAGCTTGAATGGATTACCGTACGACCATACCATATATTTGAGATATCGAATGAATCCATATCTATTTCCCATAATACGCTAACAGCATAGCTAAAAGTTGTACAAAGAAAAATCTACAAACAACTAGATCGTTCCCGTCCGTAGACGATAAAACAGACCACAAAGTTGCAGTCGAGAACTCACTGATATACATATATAAACTTCAAGGAAATAATAAACAGAACACACATCAAATCTTATACATATAGTGTGAAAACAGGATATAAATCGATAACTGCAATAGGTCACAACAATTAACTACATTATTTTTACAAATATTCATTTCTGTGCTTGCTTTATCGTAGTGTCAACCTCGTAAGTTAGCCAAACATGTGGAATTTTATTTGTTCTTGTTCAAACAAATACGCGAAAACAAAATTTTTAAACACAAATAAGCTTATGTGAAAGGTAGACTGTTTGTATCACATACGATGCAAGTTAATTTATCTTAGACAATATACCTTTCAAACTAATTTTGTGTGGCTATCATAACAACTGTTTTGTTTTTGTAAGCTGTAACGAACAGAATTCGGAACGTTCAGACCCTAAGGTTTTACCTAACATTTGAATCAATCAACCAACAAGCCTGAGGACCTGTTGAGGTAACTACAAAAACAATCATTATTATTGACTTTCCAACCTCAGTATTATTGTGATATGATTGGGCCAAGTAATGAATACCTATTCATATAAATTACCACATTGGAAAATATTTTACATGCTTTGATGTTTACTTATCTTATTGTTTTTTTCTTGAGATGTAAAAGCTGTCTTGAAAAGTCCTGTCTCCACTCTTCTTACTCCCATTTGGCTTTCATTGTCGAAGTATTGTTGTGTATTAGTACTAGATTTATCTAGTCGCATTAGATAGACTCTCGTGTTAGAAGCATCTCTAATAATGTGTATTTTGGAATAGAACTGACACAGATTACAACGCTAAAAGACAGTTGATCGACACTAGCCACGCATTGCCTTATTTCGAGTAATGACTTTTGTATCCTTTATGTTGAACCTTGCTGCTGACACTGAAACTACTTCGATTATGAGGGCTGTTGTAATGAGAGTTAAATTTGCGCATCACTATCTCTGCGAAGACAGAAATCATTTAAAAACTCATTATTTGGAGGAAATTTTGCTTCCACGACGATCCAATATGATCGGAAGTACGACCTCGGAGTAGATACTTTGGATATTATCTACGTTTAACTGAATGTTGATCATAGTAAGGTGTGAAGGAACATTAGGCTGGAGATTTCCTGCAACAAAATGTCTCATCACAGTTTTCGTCGCAAAACTGCACGTCACTAGTAGCGACGTTGTATAGGCAATACTGAGGTTTAGTAACCCTTGTCTTTGTACAGTGAAGATGATAAATTGATGACATCACCTTAAAATGCAGGATTTTTTGGCCTTAACAGGTTTTATGCACTTTTTCACTTAAACTGTACCCCTCAGTGCTTGGTGTTTTTTCTTCGTTTTCTACTTCTTCAGAATACGGTTACTTGATTTTGCATGAGGAATTTATAGCGCACTGTTGTGCCGAGCAAATTTATCTAACAAATGAATGAAGTAACTCACAACTCAAGCAGTGGTTAAAAAACTACCAAGTTTCTTATGAGTGTTTCATTATTTAACGTTGTCAAAGATACTTAAATCCTCGAAAGTTTCTTTTAATCAACATTTTGTTATTTTGGTGCAATAATTTTTGTTTTGATAAATTTAATTTTCCAAGCCGTGCCATCTACTTTAACCTCAGTTGAGGATATCTTTTTCTCATTACTTATTTATTAAAATAATCTTCATCCTACTATCAAGAAAACTGTAAACATATATATAAGCACTTGAAGCTCGCCAAAAGCACTCTTCGTTGATTTCTTCACTAAATATTCTGTGTCAGATCTGTCTTTCGGTTTGGTAGAGGCTAGGAAGAGGATATACTTGTTTTTAATTAATCAAGAATCAATACAAACAGTACCTCACCATATACTTAAGTTGTATCGAAAATATAATAAATAGTTAGATAACATTAATACTTGAATTTCTTTGTGTCAACAAAAATATAATAACGGTTGTGGCGAAAATAATGACAGGATGCTTACCGATCACGCCCGCTCCATAAAGAACATAAGTCTCCGCTTAACAAACCTGGTAACATGTCATACCGACGATCAGCTAAATAAATACTGGTTGAACGTCTTCGAGCTTCACTATCAATATAACTACCAGATGGAACAAAATAACTAACATCAGCTATGTGTACTCCCAGTTGCAAACGTTTATGTTCTTTTCCATATTCATCGACGATAGGTGGTAACCATTGAACGGACAAAGCATCATCTACATCTTGACATCCAGGAGGATCAATACTGAAGATAAGTATATCTTCGGACTCTGGATTTCCTGAAATAGTGGGCGATCGAAGATCTCGACGTTTCTTTACTTCTTCGGGATCAACTTTCCAAGGGCGTTGGACACTTAGTGGTGCTAATTCATTCAGCTGTTACGAAATTTCAGGATGAGTATGTATATAAATATAATAAATAAATAGAAAAACACTAGTTGAGTGAGAAATTTGATTAAACGTTCGAGAAAGTGATGGAATTATCACATTAACAACAGAAAAGTGCGCGAAAACCACGTCTGTGTTTGTGCATTGCACAAATGGAATCGAAAAAGAGCTGTGACCGCATACGAAAAACGCATAAAGGTTTAAAGTAATATTGGTAACAATTATGATAAGTTTAAACTGGCTATCATGAAGCCAATTGAATGATACAGAACATGACAGATATTTCAACTTTTTCACGAAATGCTAGGTGCCTTTATTAACAATGACGAGTTATTACTGATTTATTAATATCAAACCAATAATTACTATAACAGAAGAAAAAATAATTCAACAAGTATGAATTTTTCACCTATACCCCAGACAAATCATAATGACATACAGTTTTGAGGAGAAATGGAACGATAAAGCGATATATAAGTCCCTTTATTTATTGGTGAGAATATGAAATAGTCAGTGAAACGGATTCTGATGAATACTGTGCAACTTTCTAGAGAATCCTGAGGCAAATAACACAATATGATGTCGAACGGTATTGTGAGGTACAACTTCCAACAATTATTAATCATCAGTCAGTAATATCTAAGACACTTGTTATTACAAAGACAATAACTATTCAAGTTATCAGTATTTTCTATGCTATTTATAGTCAGTTAGATATCTTTTGAAATATACATTCCATTTTCATGATGTTATTGAGAAACAATATATGATGAACTTTTATGTATTTATTCAATTTACGATTATCATTAGAAGAGTGGATACAGTAATATTTTAATGATTATTCAATCAATAAAAGAACACCTATTGACTGTAAACAAAAAAGATGAGTAGTGACAGTGATATATAACGCTATTCAAAATCAAGTATTCAGTATACCTGTGCATCAGTAAAATTTCGAATAATTAAATTATGTTCAATTAGTATGGTTTGTGTTTCCGTTTCCAAATCGCCAATGCAACCTAGAGTTTGAACAAAATGACCACTTGGATAAGCTGAATACGAGTCCCACGTATCGATTCGTACAATGAAACTAAAATCATAGGAAAACATCTTAAGTCAGATGATTGTTAGGCAGAAAACACAAAAAATTCAAAATAAAGAAAAAACCAGTGTTCACATAACTTTACAATAAAAAGGGATTATAAAGAACAAAACAACTAAAATGAAAATTATTATCATTAAACCTACAGCGTCTATATGTATAAACAAAATAACTCAAATATAGGCCATCATAGACAATCTACCTTAAGAAACCAATTATAAGATGTATCGATAGATGTCTTTCACATTAATGTCAGAAAATTATATGTAATAAATGTAAGGAAATTAAACTTACAAGTTATTTGATTACTAGAAGCATATATACAGCTTCGAATATAGACAATAGTGTACCAATCTGAACTAGCAGCGGGAAGAAAATCAATAAAAATGACTAATTTGGTCATAATCTTATCTGTTATAAACAGTTTACAAAAAGCAACTTAGGCCTAACACTCAAAACATTGGAAGGTAGGAAACAAAGATAATTTTTCCAAATACTAAAAGTACGGCAAGAACATGTGCATAGGCTCACCCAACACATGAAAGTTATTATAGTATTCTAATTGTCGTATGAATTAGGAATTCCAGGATTAACGCAATTGAATTAAGAAGACACAGGCACAACGAATGTACTGTATTTAGAATTCGAAATCAAACATTCAACCAGTACAAAGGTTCATTCAAACACCACAGTTATACATATTATAATTACGAAAAAACATACTTTCTGAATATTTATTAGTCAATCATGAATAGCAAAACCAATAAAGTATAGTAAAATTTTACAGTTGAGTATGAAATTACACGCTAGTAGGAATTTTGTGTGCATTACTCACCGTTCACGAGTTAGCTTGGAAATTTGTGTAGTATGTAGTCGAATGAGAGGAATACGACGATCCCATGGAGTAACTATTATCCATCCACTTTCACTTTTCGGATCTAATGCACTTTCAGTAGATTTAGGAACATATGTACAGACGTAATCACGCCAATTACGACTGACAACACCAACAACAAAGCCACAAGGTAGACTTCTTGATAATGTTTCTGAATTAAGACAATCCTGATTGGGTTTACTTCCGGATATATTTGATGAATCACTTACAAATTCAGCTGCACCTAGTAAAGAAATCAGTAACATTCATGGAAAATGCGAAAAGTGGTTAACATAGTTTACAAGAGTTAAACTTCCATTTTAAATTGAAGTGAACTAATAAGAATAATGAAAAGTCCAGGTTTTGTTAGAGGAACCTGTACAGAAGCGACCGATGATTGGAGATGTATGGTGACATGGTGTAAAATCGGTCACAGTGGTGCAAGTGCGTTCATTTTCCGTCGCCTTCTCAATATACATTCAACTCTTCTTCAATTTCAAATATTCCATTTGGATTGCACTTTTGGTGTTTAGACTTACCTTGTAGTTGGGATTAAACCCTTTCCTGGACTTTAGATCTTTTTAATCACTCTTCTCGCTGTAGTAGCATGAGAAGCAGCAACTTGAACAGATAAATAAGTGTATCATGTCTTACATTGATCATAACTAACTGGCTTTATGTTTGTTCATTCACGCTTAAATTTGGTTATATTCTCCGACTTCGCTCTCTCCTAATTCAACTCGTTTTCAGTGTATTGCTTTATACTACTTAATATTCACTAAACAGTCGTATTTCTAATAATTTCTAACCATATGGTGTAATATTTTAAAGTGCTGACATAAACAAAAATCATTTGTTATATTTATCATAACAGTTACTTTCTCTAAACTCCTAGAACAGATATTATAACTTTAATACATTCCTGGAACCTTTTAAAGAGATCGAAAACAAAGATTAGTGTAGGATAATATGAATTCATCTTATTTTGTTAGGTTCTCATCAAGTGCTTACAACCCATAATATTTTAAAATCAAAGCTATTACAGATATTGACATACTTATAAATACGAAAGGTGATTAGAGATGAGTATGTAAATCATGATGTACCAAAGATTCTAGTAGTTAGTAAGGTCATAAAAACTTTCTGTTTCAAATAAATACATGAAGTGTGAAATGGAAAGTACCAGAACATTGAAATAGTGATTAGGAATCACAGAGGTAACAAACATTAGATGATTGTGTAGTGAAGTAACTGAAAGCAGATTAATGATAATAAAGATACGAGTTGAAGTCAGCCAATTATGAATTAAAGAATATGACAATGATTCAACTAAAACTTCAGAAGGAGTTCAAATCATAAATGATGCAGCAGAAAGGATGTAATGTTGCCAGAGCAAATAAAGATTTACCACTCTTTCGTCTCGGACACAGATCTGGTTTCGAACGTTTAACCACTTTTGCTTCAGGAAATTTCAGAAGATTGGAGTCCGATTGTTTATTAATCATTTCGTAAGACTTCAGTGTATCCATGTGATGTTCTGTATCAATGAGATGTCATGAGATTGGATTGTTAAATACTTTTATTCCACTTGACCTTAGGCTTTTGGAATATGTTCTTTGAATCGGACGTAGGCTCTCCTTTCTGTCCCACCAATTCAACTGATTTGGCATATACATGTGAATTTGTAGACATAGTTGGAAGTAACATGAAAGGGATACATATCGATTTTTGATTGTGTTAAAGAACATGTTCTTTTGGACAAGACAATCAATTTAGCTGCGAGATAAGTTCATGTCACTGCAGTTTTTTAATCTCATGTTGGTTGACTCTGTCACATCAACACCTTTGAATTTAAGTTGAATAAAAATAGGTTTTTTGTTTAGTGTGGTTTTTTCGGTTTTGTGTCTCCAGGTTTCACATATTTCTCAATAAATTCCTATAAGTATTGTTATGACCTTGATGTCTGGCTTTTTCTATCACGCGACTTATCGACCAGTCAGAATACGACTTATGCAATTTCGCACTATGCCAAACCAATGACGTTCAACCGGTATGAGCAGTTTAGCGTCCTTATTGGTCCTATGTTCTCCTAGCCCTTCCACTTGAGTCCAGAACACAATACCAGCTTCTGTAATATGAATCGAATCGTTTCTTTCAGACATACTCGGTTTATATACTAATCAAACAAACCACATCGTACCATAAAATAGAAAACAACATTTGTACAATATTTGACAACTGAAATAAATATTGGCCAATAGGAAATGCCCATTTAAAGTCCAAGGACACCATTAGACTTAACATGATAATTATTGGATAATTGTACAATAAGAATATTTATAGAATATTAGTCTATTAACAGTCCTCGGAAGTTACCTGTAGCTTAATCTTCACTGAGTTATAACAGGTATCCGTTGTTCTTTAAACACCCTTTCAACATTCATTATTTCCTCCTATATTTTATCAATAGTACATATTCCTTCTGTTCCGTGAGTGTTTTAACCAGTGCCTTTTTGTAACTGAGAGGACAACAGCATTTGAAATGGAGATAAATCCCATTCCACGTGTCTTTTCTATAAACTGAACATAGGACCGTGTCATCCTTCATTTTATTGCAATGTTGAGAAAATGGGACTTGTTTTCATTTTGATTTATTTTTTCTACCATTAATACCAGTAATAATAATAATAATGCTAATACTTATACTACCACTACTACTACTGCTTCCACTACCATTACTATTAAACTAGTAATTGTAACATCAATCTTTAGAGCAACATATGTAAGCGAACAATATTGTTTTCGATTAGATCCTCATCAGGTTTTACTCTAACATACAGTAATATTTATATGCATATACGAAATTATTAGACCAATCTAGGCAGTTTATGAGTCAATGATAACAATGAGAACGATTACATAATAATTTCAATGGTTAAGATCATGAGTCAGTTGAAGCTAGACCACCATGGAAAACCTGGAAGCACTGGACGATCGTTTCGTCCTATTGCGGGACTCCTCGGCAATGCGCATCCACGATCTCGCCCCCCGCGAGATTCGAACCCAGGACCTACTGGTTTCGCGCGCGAGCATTTAACCACTAGACCACTAAGCCGGCACTCTTGAGAAGTCCCGCAATAGGACGGAACGGCCGTCCAATGCTTCCAGGTTTTCCATGGTGGTCTAGCTTCAACTGACTCACGATCTTAACCTTTGAAATTACTATAATATCCACAAAACCCATTTGATATTGATTACATAATAAGTGAAAAGTACAAATTGATGGTGTGATAACAGGTGCACTAGTTTTGATAAGAATATTAAAGGCTCGAATCAACGTTACATAATCGTAAATAGGTCAATAATTATAAAAATATAGACACTGAGATAACATTTATAAAATTATAAGATGACGTAATAAGAGGTGTTCAGATAATTGAACCGTGAGACGTATATTTGAGAGAAAACAAAATAAAATGGTAGGAGGGGGTGAAGAAAAATGATAAACGAAGAGAAATTCACTTGGTATTGTTTTGCTTGTATCTTCCCAGCTTAAGCATCTGGGCTACCTGTTCCTGCCATCTAGATATTTCAACAATTTATCTATTTTTGTTTGTTTTAATATATCATTATGTTTATTAATCGCATAACCTATTCTGCTGCGTTTCTGAAAAGTGTACAACCTTTCGTTGTCAAAGTTACAAAAACCTCAATAAGAGACAATGTGGTTGCTGGCAATATACAACGAAAAGAATGCACATTACTCAGATGTTCATTTACTGAACTGCTAACATCTAATTGGCGATCACTCAATATTTATCGCCAGGACCGACCAAGAAGAAAGAAACGGAAACTTGTTGAAATACTTTGCGCTGAGAATTCTATATTGTACCAAAAATATGATATTGAATAAAGCTAATAATAATAATAATAATAATAATAATAATAATAATAATAATAATAATAATAATAATAATAATAATAATAATAATAATAATTGAGATTTAAGACTGCAATTGATCAGTCTGTTATTGGTATATGTGCGTATGCCTCGATATTGCCTTAATTCACAAGCTCTTATAAGCAAAGATAGATAGTGACTAGCAGTGGAATCCATGACGCGCGTTTCGTCCTATTTAGGACTCGTCAGCTGGATGTACCTGCATTTCAGAGTTGGTGTTCACCCTGGGACTCGAACCCAGTACCATTCGCTTCAAACGATATCGCGTTATCCACTCAGCTACTGAGTCCTGATAGCCAATTGCTTGGGCAATGTGGTAGATTTAAATTCACTTGGTATTGTTTTGCTTGTATCTTCCCATTGAGGTTTAGGACTGCAATTGATCAGTCTGTTATTGGCATATAAATAAATTCATTTATTAAAGCCAAGGGAGAGATAAGGGTGTTACAAATTTCTTCTGAATACAAAGACTTGGCTTGTTGGCTCGAATTCCTATAGCTTCTGCTATGTGTAAAAGACGAGATCGAACACCATAAGGAAAACTAGTGGTAATACGATAAATAACTTGTTTCTGTCCACTATATGACCGCTATCGAACAGGTGTGATAGAACCAAGCTGCGTATTGTCTTGACGTTACCTTTTCCTAACCACGAAGTGAGGTGTTCACTAACTCTTTGGTTCAGTTGCCTGGTAGTGCGCCCAATATAGCTTTCTCCGTAGGAGCAGCTGAATTCGTAGATACGCATAGAAGTAGCGTAACCAGGTTACTTATCCTTCAGTTGGGGAATCACCATAGATCGGGTCGAATACGATAGACAGAGGTTGGCAGCATTAAACGTTCTCTTTACTGCTCTAGTCAGTCTATCACGTAATACACCACTAGCTACATCTCCATTGAATCGCAGCTTCAAGAAAAGAGGTTTCATCATTGAGGATCAGAACACTAGAAAAGAACAACTACTAGAAATATTTAATAACAAACATCCTGCAATTAAATTCACATGGAAATAGATAATAAACCACATTTCCTTCACGTATTGTTAAATAGAAAAAAAAGTTCTATCAGCAGAGGTGTGTTCTTCTTCAAGCCAATACACACGATTTTCAAGTTTTGTGCCTCTTTATTATAAGAGAAACTTAGTCAAATGTCTGGCAAATAGAGCTATTAAGATATGCTCAGTTGACACAATTGAGAGGGAATTAGAGCTCATTCATAATATGCTGATTGAAATGGGATATCCACAGGGTTTCCTGAAGAAACACATGCAAGTAACAAGCAAGAAAATAGCGACACTAACGGCTAGTAAGAAACCTCTTTTTTTTGAAACCGTTATCACACTGTCAATTTGTATTTTCCACTTATTATGTAACCGTTTTCATTGTTATCATTGACTCATAAACTATCCTGATTGGTTAAATAGTTTCGTATATGCATATAAATATTATTTATTTATTTGAACACATAAATATTGGTACAAGAGGGCACCGAATATATATTTAAATATTACTGTATATTAGAGTAAAACCTGATGAGGGTCTAATCGAAAACAATATTGTTCGCTTACATATGTTGTTCTAAATTCACAATATGGGAATATTTCAAGCTTTCGCCCCCAAATGCCCTGGTACGGCCGAGAGTGGGGAGAGTCCGCTATCCCTCTCGAAATGCTCTTACATGGCCACGCATATTTAGCCTCTGCCAGGGAAGTCCTACTCACTACCATCTCATGGCGGGGGTGTTGTTTACGGAATCGAGAGTACAAAAAGTGAATGTTCAGTGCTTTAACCGGGTTGGAGAGTCCACCTAGGGGAGTTGGAAAACCCTGATTCCAAACCAACGGTGCACACAGGCTCCATAATCCTGAGGGAACAAATAGCGTATGGACCAATTATTGGTAACCGGTTACCATGAGACTGCAACTCCTTACGATGCTCCACTGCCTTGTGGATCAGTCCTTCAGGCCGAAGGCTTCGGGTGTGGCCCCCTAAGAGAACCACCTGCTTCGGTTCGGGCACCCGGGCAGTATCACAGCCCTCACACATATCAAATGAGATCTGTGTGGCGCATATGTATTTGGTGCCTCTTTGTACCAATATCTATAGGTTAAAATTTTGACATCAATCTTTGTTCTTAATATTTTATCATTATCACTAGAAACGGCCTCGAGTGATCCAGTATTTTCTGCATACGTATATGGACATAACTGTACATAAAACATGCGGATCGACCTGTTTAGTCTTCTGATATACAGTACTTAATGGTACCATGTAGCAAATTGATACTTACCCTTAGTTGTGAAACTAAACTGCGATGTCTCCGGAAAAATAAATTCATAACTGGAACTCATAAGAAAAGCTAGAAAATGTTATAAATATCAGCACCACTTTCACCAGTAAAAAGTCATTTTACCTAAACATTAGTGAGCCAATAAAACATAATTAAGTTAAAAACATATCAATGCAAAATGCACATTAACTCACAGTTTTCTTGAGCACTAATATCGGATGAAACAGTTTTCCAATGAACACGGGGTAAAAGACGTACTACGACTACATCTCCATCAACAGCACGATTACGATTTTGTAGCCCGTGAATCATAATCTCACTCCGTGCAGCCAACGCTTCCTTAAGTTCTGGTTGGTGCTTTACTGCGCTAGCACTAAAAATGATTGACAAAACTTGAATATCTTGAAATGACTCAAGAATAAATATAAAAGTAGAAAATGTATTTGGGTATGTATATTTATAGGTTTACGGATTCTAGGACGTAGCTTAAATCGGTCAACATATTTGACCACTAAAAACGATAACAGATTGTTTCGGGTTTAATAAAGCATGATTAAATTGTTTTGAGCTTACTCTGTTAAGGCTACCGTGGCCTCAGTAGTCGGTCGAAAACGTGACACGTGAAGAATGCCCTTCAAAAATTGTCCAGACCGTAAACCGGCAGCTAAAGCTGATTCAGGTAAATATTCCGGATATACGTGACCAATAGAAGGCGCTGGAAAGAAAAAATACTTATACTGAGAAAAGGTAATTCTAAATATGATGCTCGCTCTCTAAATGAACAATAGAATTGCCAGAAAATACCTATAACATACAATTTTACTCGAAGAGGTGAACGGCTAAAGTTTGTACTTGAACAACCATATAATTTGCTCCCAAGCATAAACAGAAAACTATCTCTCCTAGATCTTAGCTGAATAATTTGACCTTGCTTATCCTGACTAACCATGTTTTCGTTTTTGATAATAATATGAAAGCTAAGCCCGAACTGACCTGAAGGCATGATGTACGAGTCCAAAGACTCTGAAGGATTTTCTGATTTTGAAAGCTCTGGTAAATTGTGGTCTTTGGATTGGATAGAACGAAGTGATACATCCAAAGAATCAAACAAAAGTTTGGCAGTTGTGAGCGTGGGGTAGTACATCTGTAAAAACCCTGGTAGATCCAAGACCTGAAACAAATACATTTATAAAATTAAAATCATAGCTCGTTGAAATAAATATATGCAAGTACCAGCTGATCGAAGAATATGATTAGTTTACTTATTGTTTAAGATAGGGGATAAATTTTCGCCTGTTCTAATCGGGGATAATATTGTTTGCTCGTATATCTTGTCCGGATTTACACAACGACTTTTAATGATTTTGTCTAAGGTAACGATCATGACAAACAACCAAGCAACTCAGGGGGGCGTATATGCGCCAGATTTTACGCAGTGACTGGAATGGAAACAAGAAGGAACTGGTGGTAAATTTGCCTAACCATTAAAGAGATATCTGGAGGCTAATGTTACAAGAACTAATGCAATATGCTCTTAAAATCAGAGACCATAGTGAAGGCTGCGAAGTGAAATGTTCTTCTGTAACCAGATTGTTGTTCACCGCGTTCAACAGTGAGTTGGACGATAATACTGACACTGGCTTTGATCAACGAAAAGTAAATAGTTCTGATGTTACAGGTGCAGGATAAACGGTGATAACTCCAAATACAACTGAGATACCATATTTAACAGCTTTACTAGCTTCATCTCCCAACCACTACTCCAAAACAAAAACTTCGTTAAGAAAATTTATTGAACAAAATCAATGGGGATTAACTGTAAACCAAAAATGACTCGGTTATGTATTAATTTAGTGACTATTAATTACGGAGGCTTATTAACTAAGTAATTACTAATGGATGCAAAATCATAGTGAAATAACCCCTACAAGAAAAATGTATCTAGTCTTATAGCTAAATGCAATTGAAATACATTTAAGCCTAGTGAACAGAATCTATGATTTCTTTCCTTGTGTGTTGTATTTGGAGATAGAGTATCCTTCAACAGACGAGTTATTATAATTCAGTCTTGCTTTGGTTATCGTCACGTTATATCACAGCACTGAATGTTGCCTATCAAAAACTACTCATAAAAAGACATTGCACTTCAATCTGATGTATTGGTATGGTTTTTGAAGCCAATAAGTAATAATAAAAATATCAGACCATAATTTCTTCCAAAGACCACTAATATTCTGAGCTTAGGGTGACTGTTTACATTTATATATAGAAAGTTATACAAACGAGGTAGTGAATACAGAACAGTTAGTGTCCCCAGTCACTGCCTACCTGACGCGAGATAGGGGATGGTAAAATCATTAGGAAAATTTATTGCAGAAAATAAAACAAAATATGGTACTAAATTACGAAGTTCTTGATCTGATTAGCACTATAGCCCGAAGCACTCTCATTGGTTGGAGCCTACAACATGTAAGAAATTGGGTGCAAACCTATGATAAACTGACTATATAGCTCTTGATTTATAGACAAATTTACTTTTAAGCCCATCAAATAGTATGCAATAATTCGTATACCCGATAGCGGATTATAACTCAGGACACTGGTGAAGGGTATGTTTTCAGTATTAAAGTGCAATACCGAATGGATTATTGACAAGTATGTTATCAACTCCAAAAGATCGAACCATGTATCTGGATTAACTGACTTCACTCAAAACTGGAACATCCGCTTTGACGTCTAAATAAAGAATAATACGCAAACCATAGGAAGAATGTCGAATCCCAAGGTTCAGAAAGGATCTAAACGAGTGAGCTTTAGATGTTTACGTTTTACTAGGACAAGCTAAAATCACACGAAGCGGTAACTAATGATACGGCTAGAAACAAGATCTCACGACTAAATCATTATTTTGTTGACAAATCTGTAGACTCATTTTGACACCAAGGATGCCGAAGTCAACGGCTTAAAACCCTTAGGTCTAATTTCTATAACTTTTGTCTATAATGAACTGATCAAATTTCTAAACAAAGGAGGAGGTGGTGTTTGAGCCACAAACTAACATAACTTATGAGTTGGTACTATTACAGTCTGGGAGAGCATCTAATAATTAGGCGTGAAAGTAGAAATGCATTTTTCTCTATGATAAGACTATCCCTAAAAACATGAAGTAATGTGACTGAATTTTCCTCGTGGCTGCCCAAGATAATTATAAAAAGATGGTATAATAACTTACAGTTAATTTACACGATGTGGTGTTTATTTCAGATGAATAAGTGTGGACACGACTTTCGTTATCTGTTACGAAAACTAGTGAAACATGACCTTTCAAGTGATGTATGTACCAGTTAGCAGCAACCCAATTCATCCTGTCAAGAAGTTTAACACAAATCACCCTAACCTCGTAGTGTAATCTTTAAGGCTCTCGTCTGCGAAAGGAGGACGAAAACAGGAGCGATTAAACTCATTATCGAATAAAATGCATGTTTGGCTGGCATCTTCAAGGCTTGAACGAATTCTTTTGTATGGGCGTTTCGTCGAGGCCTGTTGCTGAACCTGAGAACATTAAATCACTAAGGTATAACATCATACGAAATTCACTGACGACAGTGAAACAATAACACCCTTTATGTCTTCAAGCTCAAATAGTTCCCAGTAGTTTAGAGCATAAAACCCATCAATTAAAACATAGGTTTTTAAGCCTTTTGGTAAGCAATGTCCACCTGAAGTTATCAAATATAGCTTCAAACTACCTTGATGGCACTCGATTTGAGAGCATGACAAACTTCTACATGGTATGTCATCCCGAAGATAGACTTCTCTTGTCAAACAAACCTCTTTACCCCTGGGAGTCCTGTATTTGATAGTCTTTTCTGACTTATCGCGCAAGACTGCATATCCACCAACCATCCTTGTGAAATATCTACGCAAGACAATTGAGCCAGAGACTTAAGGGGCGTGCATAAATAATCCAATTCACCGCGTACAGGAAGGTCAAACGGGTCAACAGGTTTACAGTAACCGAATTAACTAGTGAAACGAACGGATCGCTGATTATCAGAAACATTTGCGCTCTATGCAGTTGGACGGAATTACAGATTTATACTATCCATTCTGGACTTGAAGTACAATACAGTGTAATCACTGTTTCCCAGGAGTCGTAGGAACTGAGTGTCAACTTCAATTTTCCTTGACAGAATCGGTGAACTGCTTGTTTCCCGAAATCTGTGGGTTTTCTGGGTAGCTAGAGTCGTTTCTGTCAATTTCCTTCTAAAAACTAAAGGGTAGAGAATCTGGTTGATGATAGAGGGGATTAGGAGTTACAATGAGAGTAATTCCTCTTACTTCCTGAATAGCCAAAGTTGTGGTCAAGACTTCTTTCGGAATATTCCGCAGAGGGTACCATCAACGAAGCCTTCAATAAGGAGTTTTACAACTTACCAGTTCGACCCACGAAAATGGTTGTTTGGATTTCTGTGTGAGTACTTAATGTTCTACCTTAAGTAGACGTCCTCTGCGGAGATGGTAAAATGGACTTATTATGTGGATAATTTTCGTTCTTATTCACACATGTGGCAACTATAGCTGATTTCTGCAATCGCTCGTATTGACTACAAGCTTGCTGCCTAAACCTAACCCTCGATTTCCCGTTAACGTTTTGTTCTTTACTTGTATGACACTAATTATCTCTTACAAATACACCGCTGCCCATACACTTCTCGTTCTCACTTATCCAGTTGTTACGCAGACAGTTGTAGATTATGTGCCCGAAAAAGTCTGAAGAAGCTTTCATTTGGCTAGACAAATAATGTCCAATATTTTTGTATGTGTATTTGTGACTTTGTATATCAGTAATTGTCTCCATAATGTGTACAACAACTTTATCACTATTTTCTTACCAATATTTCTAGTCGGATACACTTTTTAAATGTGACTTACTTTGTGTCAGCGGTCTCAATTCAAGATAACTATGAACAATGTAGAATATCATGATCATATCTAAAAACCACACAGGTTTTCAAGATCTGATCAAGCTTTAATCTGTAACTCCTTTAATATCGCAAGATAGCAATCCATTCAAACCAAAAGTCAGGAATGAAGTTGAAAAATTTATTTGGAGTGTTATCACTGTGTCGAGAAACGTTGGATTTGAGCAGACCAGTAGTTGCAAGGGGTGCACGGAATGATGACCAGTGTGACCTGATATGGATCCTTGACAGGGTACCTCGGTTATGTATGTTCGGCAAAACTGAAGTCGGCATCGATGTTGAAGATGTACTCACCCATTCATTTTTTGGACTTATTTACAGCTACGGCCCAATGCCTCGAAGTGGGGCAGTAGTAACCATGTGGAGTACCCAGTCATAAGTTTAACCGAGCGCGTTGCTGGCAAACACTATGTCCAGTAGCATCTGGTCATCTTTCTATAATATAAACAGCCATGTAATACAACATACTAATCGTAAAGTGTACGACTGAAATTTCGGTCCATCGTATCCGTCGTCGGCGTTCAGCTTGTCTAGTTTTCCTAGAAAAGAGAGAACTAAAGATGTAATTGCATGTCGAGGTACGCTTATACTTGTGTAAGGACAAAAAAAGTCCCGAAATCTTGGTATATAAACGTATATATACCATGCGGCAGTAAAAAGAACTTAGCACAAAAAGGTTTTGCATCAAAGAAAATTACAAATATATGTAATGATGTTTAAAAAAGCAACTTTTTGGCATTTCATGTTTTCGTTGTAACAAAAAAAGAACTTAAAATGTGGCCAAATTGCTGTAGGACACAGAAAAGGGGGCAAACAATAAAGCTTACAAAATCCCCTACATGTAGCAGTCGTTCAAGTGTTCTGAAAACATTGCAGTTCTTACATACCACATCGTTTTATTGATATAATCACTTTGTCTTTAGCATTAACTTACGAAGTTTAAAGGCAGTCATTACGATCGTAATGACCTTTATATTTAAGTATAAGGATGTGTAGTCAAGTGTTCACTCCACTGAAATCGCCTGGGTTCGAAAATCCATCACTCATTCCGGCAGAACTTATCTCTATACTTTTTTCTCATCTCTGAAAAACTTGGAATCAGATAACATCATACAAGAGTGCGTGTTCCGTGTACAGAAGTACTGCCTCCTCACACACGAAAAACATAGTCCTTTTAGGTGCTGAATCACACACTTAACCAACAAATTGCACGCATCCATAATATGCCTAACTGCAAAAAAATCTTAAACGTTTCGATTATTAGCGATACTTATGACTGATAGGGTATGTTCTATTGTAGAGTGGAAAACAACCCTGTTCTCAAGTTGCGCTGGGAAATATAACAACCCTCCTATAATATGCATATTAACACCAATCAACCAAAGGATTAGTTTATAAGACTTTGATTATGTGTCTAACCCTATGAAGAATGTTCAATTCCAGGACCCAACTTTGAGCTTCTTCATTGTCGTATAATTTCATGTTTTGATCATTGAGGACAGCGGACATTTTTGAAAGTTAAAAAGGACGGCCACCACTGACTCAAGTTAGTGTATTTATCATAGCTAAATGTTAAGTCCAACTTCTTAAGTTGCTTTCCTTTCTGATGCATTTTCGTTGTCAAGATGTCTACACCATGTCTATTCCCATCCAGATTACCAGTATGTTCTGCTGGACCAAGTATTTATGCGGAACCAAATATTTATTGATTATGATAATGTATTTTCCTTTTGTATTCAATCGTTTTATCGTAATAGTCGAACAATCCATCAAGCATCTATTTAAAAAATTAGATTCTTCTTTACCTTTAACACTAAGATAACTCAAGAGGCCGGCAGGTAAACACCCTAAGCCGTACAGGTCATGGGAAAATTGTACCTCATCGACATGATGTTAAATAGTCCACTCACAGCATTTTCTCAGATATCCGTGTATAAGTTTCTCACATGCCATCCTACATCACTTACCGTTCTTCTGTAGAGGACACGTACAAAAATTAATGTATGACAGTTTAGAGAAAGAAAGTGCTACCGGAATCAAATAACATACTACTATACTATAAGAAATATATACACTAACTATGAATGATAAACAAGCGCTGGTCATCATCAGTTGTAGACGTGAAAAATTGAAACACTGAATGACTTGCATTGATTTTCCACTCAACTAAAGAACATTACATGTTCATATTTCTCAAGATGACCAAACTAAGTACTACGAATATTTTGGAGCATTCATCCCATCTGGCTCGGAATAAGGTGAAGAGGACAGGCAGCTCAAAAATATTCAGAAAAAAAAGACAACGAAATGATCATGAGCAGTAGCGAGTAGCAAAACTTGAAGAGATGAAAAAGACGACAGCGATAAGTAACAGTGGACAACTCTTCAGACTTATAAAGGAAACGGGTGTTACGAATCCGGCTGTTAGTGAAACTATCTCGTAAAAAGATGTGATTATTATTCACACTTAGTCCAGGAGGTTGAACTGATGGGCAAAAAACTTTATGGAAGAGTTCAACTGGCCCTCAATCGCAATTCAGTTACCCACTACCTCCAAACAGCTTGAATGGCAAATTGATGTATGTCCTTCAACTCTGAATAAGGTTGAAAAGGCTATACGTAGCCTAAAGTGAGGAAGAGAGGTAGGGCCTGAGGTACTAACCTCTGGGAGTTTTTAGGATGGTGTTCCAGTTTCAGAAGTTAGATTGACTGAGACCTTGGCTAAACTCTAGGAGATGGACGTAATCCCACCTAACTGGTCTCAATCGCTGGTCGCCCTAGTTTTTGAGAAAGAACAGTAATCTTGTGACAATCACTGAGAAGTCAGTTTAACTAATATGGTGTCTAAAATATTGGTCTCAACAATATTTCAACATTTAACCAGATCTCTTGAAGAGCAAACCCGTGGAAACCAGGCTGGTTTCAGATATGGATGTGGATGTATAGACTAAATATCCACCTTTTGATAGGTTCTGGAACATAGATACTTTTTAACGTCCAACTATGGTTGTGTGCCTTGACCTCAAGGCGGCGTTCGACGCCGTTGACAGTGAGGTTCTACGGAAGTCTGTCATCGAAAGGAGTACCAAAGAAGCACGTTAACCTTGTACGGGCTCTATCCAAACACTGTTGGCCGAGTCAGAGCATATGGTGAACTGTCATTGTAATTGTCGTTGCCCGCCTACCTCGATGGACAATGTTTTCTGGTGTAGGAGCAGGCTGTAAGAAAGTTAGGGGTGGCCAAACCATGAAGACACTGATAACTGAACTGTGCCATGTTAATACGTGGTTGGGGACTTTGAAAAGCGTGGTTCAAAATCGTTTGCCACGGCGCAGATGCATCCGTCCTCCGTCTTCCTCCAAATTCTGAGATTCTAAACTCAACTATTTTTGTTTTTGTCTTACTAATTTATATTTACTCGAATCGTATCTTCGATGCCTCATCTTTCCTAATAACACTGAAACTGCTACTACCTGTACTGTTCTGGGATTTGGCTTGACAATTTCATTTTTCTGTGCTGACGGGGTATAGCAACTTGAACCGAGGTGCATAAGTACAAGGTTATACGTTGTGACTGACTGGTTCAGTCAAAAAAGAATCTTCAAGTGCTGATCTTAGAAGACAAAAAATCGGGAATCTTTTAAAAAGAAACTAAAAACTAAGTCGTTTATGGGCGATATGTTAATTCCTATATATTGTATTGTGATGATAACGAAGTAGCTATATCCATGACAGTGATATTTTATAACGCAAACCAAATAACTATATGAACCTTCGTCAATATTTGAACGAATGGTTTGACAGAAATAGGATAAATCATTCGTCGAAACTATATTTGAAATAACTGTCGCGACTGAAATCTAAATCAATTAATTTTATTTACTACCTTGAAGAAGTGGAGGCGACAATCACTGGATAAAACGTTGAACTTCAGTCCCTGGGTTCAAATCAAATATTTAAGAAAGGCTAAAAGAAGTCGTAGTCCTACGTTTCATTGATAAATCATTGGGTCATGTCTACCCAACGATTGTGAAGAATTTCGGGAAACGGAAGTAAGAGAAATAAAAAGGACAGTGGCAGCATGTGAAACCGTTACCGGACATCTATCTCTTCTCATTAGAGAAAGAAAGGCTGTAAATTAGTTGGCATAAATCTTTCTGACAAGGATGGAACTACAGTACTGGGTGGGGCATTTTGAAGAAAACACTAATTAACATCCAGTTAGTCTCCAGTAATACACCATCCTATAGTAACTTTAATGGGAGATTGACACAAATCTCGCAATTTTTAGTGACGTCAAAAAGATCATATTTAACTTGTGATGAGAAGGAGCAGCAGGACCTGATAAGTTAACTCCAAAAATACTTGAAGATGGTTATTTATTTCATGTATAAAAAGCCCAATGGTTAGGACCTGAATATAGACGGTGATCTGGTGTCAAGACCGCTTGGTTGTCAGCATATAGGTAACAGGTTTGAACCTCACTCTACGTACTTCAGTTGCCTCAGATATTCTGATACAACCAAAGGTGAGAATTCTTCTCTCACAACTCCGCATTCACAGGCATTATAAGAAAAATCGTCTCAAACGGATTGTTGTTGAGAAGTTGGCTTCACCCACCATCACAATAAAATATAATCTTTAGCTTAGTTGCTAAATTGCTTTAAAGTGTAGATGAGGTATGGTTACATTAACAGTATCCCAAGTAAATAGTAAGTAGATTCACTTATGCCTTCACAAAACGTCTCATTTATTTACGCTGGCTTCCCGATTACTCATAACATATTAGTTTACTCTGGTGGGTCGTAAGCACGACAAAACGTCAAAGTGTGCTAACGATTTTAAAGCACTAACTGCATCTGAAAGCTTTTAGAAGCTGTCTTGACTTATCTTAGCGGACTGATATAAAACACATCTCAATAAAGAAATCTATAAAGTTGATGGCTCACCAGTTGGGTCGATCAAACCTTCTTGTGTCATTGTCTATTCCCGCAATGAAGCGGAGGTCCTTAAGCATTACAATTCATCAGGATTAGATAACATTACCCTACTTAACGACAAAAGCGAACTTCTAGTCAAAATAACGGGCCGAATTATTCGTCATCTTCCGATACCAGTGTTCATTCATCCTAGGACCAAGGCGATTCCCATATCCATCTTTAAAAATGGGTTACATTAAAGTGTCCGACAATAATTGGAGTACAAGTGTACTTTCAAGTCCCTTTAAAATATTGGCTACCATCATATTCAGTAGGTTGTGCAAAACTCATGAAATACAAATTCGCGAGCAGCACACCGGTCTTAGTTTAGATTGTATTGATCATGTTTTCACTTTTCACCGAATTCTTAGGGACACTTATTATAATGTAATAGTTACTAAGATTCTTTATATCGGCCTCTTTTGATTCGTTAAACAGGATTATGCTCTGAGATCATCTGTTGTAGAAAGATTGGTCAGAAATTTTTGTTAACATACTTTGCGCTTTTTAGTAAAATATCTTAAGGAAAGTTATGACATACAACCACCTGTTTATTGTTTCAAGTCGACAGTAAGGTTAAAAGGAATTATCAATTCTCACCCTAGAATTTCTTTGTCGATTGCAGCCTTATAAGAAAATGATGATGGGCTTTTCTATCTCCAGTTTGGGTATGACATTATCATTATACACATAACCTAGTTCAAATCACATATAATCGGTCAACAATTCATGTGAATAAATAATTCCAAAATGCGAAGCAATTTCGAAAAACACTGAAGATGGTTTCTGCACTCATCTCATGTAAGTGCTGATGGTGGCATAGAAGATGGAGCCATTCTACGCATCATAATTACTCGAGTAGCTTAAGCCACTTACATGATGTCAGTCTATCTGTAGTACATCGGGTTTAAGGCGGCATCACCAAAAGCGATCCTGCTCCTATATCTGTTCGCCAACTTTGTGTTTGATCGTCAGTATATCCAAAGGATTATTTCGATAGCAACACAATTTGGTTGGTGGCAATTCGATTGGCAACAATCTTAGGATGCCGGTTTCAGTTGCCTCAACATGTCTGTATTATGATCCCGCTACTTCTCTGTCGCATGTCGACGCTAGGAGTGGAAATGGAGGCAAAAACGTATTTGGTTAATAATATTGTTTGGGATAGTATTATAAACGAGGGCAACTAGCTCGTTCTGATAATGTATGAACTCTTGTTGCTATCCCCTGAAATATTAGAAGCGTTTAGATAGATTTTATTATACTACCAAAGTTCTTTTATTTTTGAGAAAGAACTTTAGCGATATTTCTTGGTCTAAGATTTTTAGTAATCGCCTTATGTGGTCTTTAATTTCTAGTTAACATCGAGAATATACATCAATAGGCGTTAGACTACGATACAATAGCTTTTCTTGTTATGTTTACTAAAACTTTGTGCTAATTTTTTTCTAACAGCATCGGCAGAAAGTACATCCAACTTATGTTCTGAAAGTGCAGTTTTCGCCAGATAGTACATTGATAGCTACCGGGGGAGGTGATGGAAAATTTAATCTTTTAAAGACTGCTGATTTTAGTTTAGTTACAACGCGACAGGGTAGTCCATCAGGTCATCACTGGGTTTGGGATTGCGCATTTTCGGCAGACTCTCGCTTTTTGCTCACTGCGACTTCCGATGGAGTTGCTCGCTTATGGAATTTGGAGACAGGTGAAGTACCCGTTGAATACAAAGGACATCAGAGAGCAATCACTTGTATGGCCTTCCGTGATCATTCCTTGAAGTCTATGTAGTCTTTAACTCAATGAAAACTAGATGTATAGTATGAAAACAAATCCTTGATCTTATGCATTTTTACTTTTTTTAAAGCTGTTATAAACGTGAACTTCTGAGCTATTTGTAAGTGTCAATTTATTTTCTTAGCATGGTACAGCAGATGTTAATGCTTGCAAAGTGCCGCTGTTTATAATACATCAGATTTCCAAATTAGATTACAACGTCGAAAAATTCAATTTATGTGAATTGATAGATGAATGAACCTTTTATGATTTCAAACGATTTATACTTTTTACAGTAATGGACTTACTCTAGTAAGAATTGTAAAATAAGGACCTTGTTGTGTGGATCCGCATTTTTCCACTTGTGTAAAAGTTATTTAGACCCATGAGTTGTAGTCATTACGCTTTCCGAAGTTTGTTTGTCACGCAGGTTTCTGTAGTTGTTTTATAGTTCACAAACAGATTCGTTCTTGGGCCGATATGTTTCATTGAAATTATGGGCTGACCGATGGTCTACAGTCTAAGCGTTTGCATACGACACTGAAAGTTATAGGATCATTTCTGGTTCCTTGTGTGAGCACGAAACACTCGTGCTTTTTGGTCTGGGTCCGCGCAACCATTGTAACCAGTGGTTGGAGACTCTGGTTGACATTGCTCAGAATTGATCACAAGGGCGTAGATGCATACACTCTTTGTCTTCCCTTAAACCATGTGATTAAAATTGCTTTATACCTTTCTTTCTATGGACTAATTCCTTCTTCCTGTATTATATCCTTATACGCGATCTTTCTTTAAATACATTACTATCATTGAAGTAACTACTATGAATTTGGTGTTCATCGCGTTGTGCTAGTGAGGTGTCGCAAGTTGGACCGATGCATATATGTGCCTGGTCGTACGCTGAAGATGACTGACTTGATAAGCAACAGGTGCACATGCGAATACGTTCAGTACAACTGAGTAAGTAGGGACACCTTTATGTACTTGACTTCGAACTACATACTTAGTTAAGTGTTTTAATTGCTCCCACTGAACTTCCTCATTAAAAACTCCCCTAGAATCAGTCAACAACTCCACAATGTAAGTTATAGAGTGCAATAGGCTGAGCTACAGGACTTTCTACGCCATTTCCATAGACTACCATAGTTGTGTTAAAGCTTTCAGCCTTTCTCCGTATCATTGCTAATGCATTATTTTGTCTCATTTACTACACAGCTAGTTAATTTTATTTGACCATGCTGATGTGTTGTAACAACTTGAACTAAATTACGCTCGTGCCCATGTGTACATTGATTATGACTGACCATGAAAATAAACCAAGTTCTCTTTTAGGGAAAGCGGATAATATTGCTGACGAAAGACATGATTATCAGCGGTACTGAACAATCCAAGTCACGCATAAAACAAGGGTCCACCTAGGTGAGTTGGAAAACTCTGATTCCAAACCAATCGAGCACATTGGCTCCAGAGACAAATGGAGTATGAACCTATTATTGGTGACCGGCTACCATGGGACTGCACATCTTACGTTGCTTCACTATCTTGTGGGCCAGACTTTTAAGTCAAAGGCTCGAGGTGTGGCCCCCTAAGGGAACCACCTGCTTTGGTTTCGGCACCCAGGCGGTATCGCAGCCGTTAAGCAAACAGAGTAATCTATTTGGTGCCTCATTGTGTGTCTTTAAGTAAATATATAAACATCGCTAGGTCTTTCTGAGTCTATCAATATTGCGGAAAAACTGTTTCTCCGCAACCCTGATTACTTCTTAATGTGTAACGGGTTTGCACTTCACATCTACATAGCGTAATTTCTTCCTACACAATGTACTCGTGGTTATTAGACTCTTTGTTTAGTAGTACAATTGATGTGATATCTTCAAACTAGTCTGCACAGACTGGGTACACACTAAAATTAGTCGTATAATATACATTTCTAGAGATTTTACAGAGACCAGTCACTATGCGTTTGCATATTATTTTATAGAAGGTGTCACGTACATAACAGCTGATGAAGCGCCGCGCTTATCAGGTCAAAATATGGCTGCCCCAGTAGAAAAAAGTAAACGGATTACTACTCCATATCTTACGAAATATGAACGTGCTAGAGTTTTAGGTGCACGAGCTCTGCAACTATCAATGTCTGCTCCCGTTATGGTCGAACTGGATGGTGAACGAGATCCTCTAAAAATTGCTGAAAAGGAATTAAGGGCTAACAAAATACCTATCATTATTCGACGTTTCCTTCCTGATGGGAGTTCTGAAGACTGGAGTTTGGATGAACTTATTTTGACAGAATAAATTCATATTTTTTGTTTTATGCGTGACTTGGATTGTTCAGTACCGCTGATAATCATGTCTTTCGTCAGCAATATTATCCGCTTTCCCTAAAAGAGAACTTGGTTTATTTTCATGGTCAGTCATAATCAATGTACACATGGGCACGAGCGTAATTTAGTTCAAGTTGTTACAACACATCAGCATGGTCAAATAAAATTAACTAGCTGTGTAGTAAATGAGACAAAATAATGCATTAGCAATGATACGGAGAAAGGCTGAAAGCTTTAACACAACTATGGTAGTCTATGGAAATGGCGTAGAAAGTCCTGTAGCTCAGCCTATTGCACTCTATAACTTACATTGTGGAGTTGTTGACTGATTCTAGGGGAGTTTTTAATGAGGAAGTTCAGTGGGAGCAATTAAAACACTTAACTAAGTATGTAGTTCGAAGTCAAGTACATAAAGGTGTCCCTACTTACTCAGTTGTACTGAACGTATTCGCATGTGCACCTGTTGCTTATCAAGTCAGTCATCTTCAGCGTACGACCAGGCACATATATGCATCGGTCCAACTTGCGACACCTCACTAGCACAACGCGATGAACACCAAATTCATAGTAGTTACTTCAATGATAGTAATGTATTTAAAGAAAGATCGCGTATAAGGATATAATACAGGAAGAAGGAATTAGTCCATAGAAAGAAAGGTATAAAGCAATTTTAATCACATGGTTTAATGGAAGACAAAGAGTGTATGCATCTACGCCCTTGTGATCGATTCTGAGCAATGTCAACCAGAGTCTCCAACCACTGGTTACAATGGTTGCGCGATTTCTGAGTCTGAATTTCATTAAACGTTAAGTTTTCTTCTCTTTAAGCTGGTTTGCGACGTTCGATGTTGATTTTGTTCTTAGTTCCGTTTTTATCAGCGCTACACTACCTGGTTTTGTGATGAAGAGTATCTTTGGGTCGATTGTAGGCAGTGCGTAGGGGTTGGATTGACGAGTCTCTATAAACGAAAAAGCAGTCCTACTCACTGCCTTCTCGTGGCGGCGGTGTTGTTTACAAAAATGAGAGGACGAAAAGCGAACGTCCGGCGCGTTACCTGGATTCCAAATCAATGGTGCACATGGGCTCCAGTATCCTCAGGGAACAAATGGTGTATGAACCAGTCGTTGGTCATCGGCTTCCATGGGCCTGCATCTCCTGACGACGCTCCATTGCCTTGTGGACCAGACCTCCAGGTCGAGGGCTCGGGGTGTGGCCCCCCAAGATAACCACCTGCTTCGGTTTGGGCACCTGGGCAGTATCACAGCCCTCACACTTATCGAATGAGATTTGTGTGGCGCATATGTATTTGGTGCTTCTTTGTACCAATATCTATGTGTTAAAATAAATAAATAATAAGGCTGTTTAGATGAAAACAATAGTCGATTGCCATCACGTGAGAGCAGGCTCAACTGAAACAATCGCTTTTCCAAAATGTCCAGTCTAGGAGTTTACGTCCACATTAAATCAAGGGAATTAAGGATGTATGAATTCTCATGGAAGTCTCAGCACTGCATTGTAAATTAGTTCTGCTTCGGTTTGACGAACGTTTGTTTTCACTGCATTGCTGATTTCGCGTACGAGTAGAAATCCGTCAGTTAATTGCAATATACTTGCAAAGGAAAGCGAAGCATTCAAATACTGTTTAAATCGTTATGCATTTGTCAATATATGAATATCAGATCGATATGATCTGTGGAAGTCACATCTTTATCTACACTGACTCGTCATATTATCACAGTCACTACAATACTGTTCAAGACTCCTGAAGAACACAAAAGCATGTGGTAAGATGATATTTTTTATATGAAACAGAGTAAATTACATACGGTTTCACATTAGCTTTCTTGATTTCAACGAGTTATAATAATTTAACCTTGAATAAGTCAGAAACTGACTTATTCAAGACTCAATACCTGCAGTTCAGTTTTACGAACTATCACCCACGATGTAAGAATATAAATAATTGGTTCATTGCTTGTAAAAGCATTAATCATTGAATATGTCTTACAAATGCACTTAAGTTCAACGAATTATCGTCAGCTACCTGTCCGAAATTCATATAATTATCAACAATTTCACGTATCATTAGGATTTTTTACGATAATTTATGTGTATCAGTAGTAGTAATAATTTCAATGACGGTTAAGCAGAGATGAGGTCGAGAAAATCTGGAAGAAGAATTGTGACGTTTCATGGTGAAAGCCGGGATTTTTCGGAAGTCACAAAGCCGATGTTCCTTCTAACAACCAGAAAAACAGTTATCATAGGTACACGGAATGTTCAGACAATGTGGGAGGCTGAGAGAACAGGTAAAATAGCTTCGGAAATGAGGAGATACAACTTAGCATTGCTTGAAATAAGTGAAACATACTGGACCTAAGCTGTACGGAAAAAGATAGATTCGGGAGGTGTACTGCTGTATTCTGGTAACGAAGAATAAAATGCTCCACACACTCAGTAAGTTGCTATGATGTTTTTTTAGAACGGTACATAAAGCGCCTGGATGAGAATCTAATGAACCCAGGAATATCAAAGCATCCCTCAAAACAAAGAAGGAAGGAATCACAATGAATGTTATCCAATATTACGCACCCATCAATGATAGCAACGATGTTTATAAAGATCAGTTTCGTGAGATGCTTTAGTCGATCATAGCGACGTGTCCAGAAAAGGACCTGGTGGGAGATCTAGACGCCAAAGTCAAAATACACAATAATGGATATGGAAATATCACGGGACAACATGGACTGACTAGGAGAAAGGAACGAGAATGATGACAGATTTGAAGATCTATGTACACTCGAGAAAATGATTGTAGGATGCACAATATTCGCAGTCAAACGCACACAAATGGAGACAAGGGTCACATCGTATCACGCTACAGAGAATTGGATCAACCATACTCGTATCAGTGAAAATTTAGAAGGTCAATAGAAGATGTGAGAACCAGCAAATTAGCTCACACAGATCCGGATTACCACTTGATGGTTGCGAAGATGAAACTGAAACTAGAGTTGCACCGAATAGCTGGACAAACACCATTTTAAACGGTCAGTACAGCCTTCCTTGTAGATACTGACAAACTCCGCGAATTCGAGACAGCAATCTCAACAACAGGTTCCAAGCCTTACAAGACCTACCCAAAGAAGAAACTGCTATGGAGAAAAATTGGAAAGGGATCAAAGGAACACTGACTTCAGTAAGTCAGAAAGTTATTGGTCGTAAGACGCATAATCGTAGGGAATGTATCTCTATCGAAAACCCTAGGCAAGATTTAAGAAAGGAAGAACAAGAAACCGGCAATTACCAACATCCGAAAAAGAACAGAGAAAGTCAAGGCACAAGCTGAATACATAGAAGCAAGCAAGTGAAGAAGAACATTAGATACAACAGGCAGAAATACGTTGAAACCGAGCAACGGCAATGGGAAAAGCCGGGGGAGAACGAAATATGATGCAACTATATGACATAACGAAGAAACCGTTAGAGGAGTATAGCAAACCAGAAAGACCGGTCAAGGACAAAGAAGGAAAGCCAATCACCGAGATTCAAGAGCAGAGTAAAATATGAGCAGAAGAAATTGAAGTACTCATGAATAGGCCAGCTTCAATGAATTCACCTAATATCAAAGCAGCACAGATAGACTTTCCTACATATGTCATTCCCCCAACGATCGAAGAAATCAGGATGACTATCAAACAAATCAAGAGTGTGAAAGAAGCAGGACCTGGCACTATGTCACCCGAAAAAATGAAGTTCAGAAGTAACTACAAACAAGCTCCACATTCTATCCAAGGAGGTCTGAGCGAATGCAAGGAGTATAGAGTAATCACACAACCCTAAGTACCATGGAAAGTTTTCAACAGAGTGTTATCGAACCGGATGAAAGATTAAGTGGATGTCCGGCATCCAGATCAACAGACCGGATTTCTTAAGGATCGGTGAACACGGATGGTCCACCTAGGTGAGTTGGAAAACTCTGATTCCAAACCAATCGAGCACATGGGCTCTAGTATCCTTAAGGAACAAGTGGGGAATGAACCTATTGTTAGTGACCGGCTACCATGGGACTGCACATCTTACATTGCTTCACTGTCTTGTTAATCAGACTTTTAAGTCAAAGGCTCGTGGTGTGGCCCCCTAAGGAAACCACCTTCTTCGGTCTCGTCACCCGAGCAGTATCACAGCACACACACAAATCGATTGATTTACGTGGCACATATCGATTTGCTGCATCCCTGTACCAATATTTATGTGTTCAAATATATAAATAAAATAAAAAACCAGGTAGCAAGATACTCAATGTTCGTTGGCTGGATACTATCAGCAACAGCTTACTATGGTGGAGAAGAAACCGACTCCCAGCTGAGGAGGAAATTAGGAAAAGACGCTGGAAGTGGATAGGACACATATTGGAGAAATCATCAAACTGCATCAGGAGGTAGTCGCTAACTTGGAATTTTGAAGGGAAACGGAACAGAGGAAGGCCAAATAACACATTGCGTTGAGAGTTGGAAGCATAAATCCGAATAATGGATAGCAACAGGAAACAACTGAAAAGGACTGCCCAGGACAGAGTTTGGTGAAGAATGTTAGCGAGAAGCCCATGCTCCTCTATGAGGGTAAGAGGTTTGAGTAACAGGAACTTGAAGTACCGAAATTTTGTCATGCTGATCACAAACCAGGCAGTTCTACGAAATCTGTAGTAAAGTAATTTACGGCATTTTTCATAATGGTATGGGTGCTTGGTTCAACATGAATTGACAAATCCCAAGGAAGCACATAGCAAATATTTCATACTCATTATTCGCATCGGATTGTTGTTTGTGGTTCGATCAGTCGTTGAAGAGATGTCGTAATAAAGTGTTTGCATGGTGAGTTCAGAACTTCATTCCCCCTGACAGCTGCACTGCTGTGTTTGAAATAGACATGAGTTGTCATAGACAACCTCAAACAAATAGTAATGGAGTAATACAGAAGAAATCGGAGGTTGGCGGAAAAATCATTTTCAGGAAAGTTGAGTGAGCATTTCGGGTGACGGTGAGTCGAAATGTTAGAAAAACTCTTTCATATACATTCACTTTGATTCATGTAAAGTCATTTGTTTCAGGAAATTTTTATGACAATCATCAGAATAT